TCCTTGGTTACCAAAGAGGCAACAATATTGCCGAGTTTTTTTTATCTGGTGTTTCTTTAGCCGGAACACACCTTTGATTAAATCTGGTTGTTTTTTTTACTTGTTAGCATTTAGTGGCCGACTTACAATCCTTGGCCACTGCTTATTGCACATCATCGTCAGGAATAGTGATATAATACCACACGACCGCTTGTACATCACGGCACGCTTTCAGAGTTCTACCATGTATTTTGGTCTGCCTTTGAACGAAGAAGAAAGGACAAAACATTTACAAACATATGCGATTTATGGCGTCGCTGAATCCCCTACATGTCCTTGATTGTAATGATCTTTGGTTGTATTAAATATACTTGAAATGTTTTCAGGCTTAATCTTTGGAGCCATATTGACCAGGTATTGTCGAAAGAGATGGCTCTTTCGTAATGTATAATTAAATAGGCCTTCCCGACTCATGCCTCTATACGCGCTACATCTCAATGCGGTTCGCTTGTCTGCCTGGATTATCTTGTCCACGGATACTGACTTAATACCGTGGAACAATGTGCAGCGCTGTTATACCGGATTCTCTCGTATTTTTAACAACCATTTCAACTTTGTTCGCTGCTTGAGTATTTTCCGTTTTTTCGTGCTAGCCTGGTGATCGTCGTTCAGGGTCAATGATGTGGATGGGCACCTAATAGCTTCTTATACAATTTTTCATGTTTGGAGTGTTTCGATTTTCCAAAGGTGCGCTGAAAATGAGTTGCTTGTGTACAATTCATGTCTCCTACAGTGATCACTTGTCTCGTCTGCTATTTTATGCTGCACTCAAGTTGCTACGACTGATCTACTAAGCTCCAGACTCACGTTATGATATAACGTATATATAAATAGCAGTAGGCAAATATGATATATTTGCCTACTGCTAGCGCTAGCACTGATAAAGTTAGGGTCATGCACATGTAGACAGATAGCTACATATGAAACGTGAAGATTAGTGGCGGCGGTGCGGACGGAAGCCGTTAAACTGAGGGATCGATACAGCAAGAACACCCTGATACACACACGAATCTGCACACCACTGCTAGAAAGAGGCATACTTGATACCGAATTATTGAATAATTACCGGCATGTAAGCTACTCACAATAAATCAGAGTTATCATTTGTGAATAAACGAGTATCTAAGTTTTTTGTTCGCTTTAATATGTCCCGACATATCCATAAGGATACAATGTTAACTATGCACATTAAAAGTCTGCAGACAAAGTTAAATTCCAAATACACTCGTAGCGGTTTAACCTATCACAACCTGACACACTGTATTTCGCGTCAAATGATAGATCGTCAAAGGGGTATCAGAACAAAAATGATATGCCGTCTTTGTCGCTTATGTAGTCGTCCGTGATCTCACTTCGAAGTAGTTAGTTCTAAATTGTCACACAGATAACACTAGCGTGACCGACCAAAAGAATGTGTAGGCTCACTGAGGTATTAGTTACCCTAAATAAGCGTGTTTCTGATCAAGAATACCATTGATTATAGAAAGCAATGACACGACGAAAGCTTACAAAAAGCGTATGATGATAAAGATGGTGAAAACTCAATTTTTGTTTGTCAACAGTGGGAGAATGGGTAAACAACATGAATTGCCTCTTGAATAAAAAGGACCTTACGATCTGTTTATTGCATCGCGCAACGGAAATGTAATATTGGCACCCGATTTGACACAGCAAAGTATTGAGAGAAAGTTAGGATGGCACTTCAGCATCTGGAAGTTGATCAAGGAGACGTTTCTATGCCTGCTAGTTCCGCGAACAATATGTGTTGCCCAAAAGTTTCTATTTCTTGATAAATAGGCTTAACCCAATCATCAAGTGTGTTGTGGTATTCACCTTTTAAGCAGTTCTTCCTTAGAAGCTTAAAAATTTTGACATACAAGAACATACCATACTCGCTTCATAATCTCAAACATATTGCCACTGTAGTAAACAGAGTAGCATGAAAACTTGCTATGTTACACCCGAATACCGCCGATAAATAGAGAGGCGATGAAAACAGATGTTACAATTTCATCATTGCGTTTCCAGGGCGCAAACACTTAGAGAACTTGAATATTATTGAAATGAAACGAAGGCCGCACCTAGCATTAACTGGGAAGCACTACTTATTTGATCCTGTCCTTATGTTTGAAACTCGCGAACATATACAGAATTTTATCAGCCTAATGGAGTCACTGATCAAGAAACTGGCATATTGACCATCTACAAATTTAAGAGTGGATAGCGATAGTTTCCCTGCCACTCTTATGGATACGTTGTGGTCTAGGTCGAACGCGGGTATAGATACGCTTCGTCGTTTCGCGCCGGGAGCCGATCGTTAACGTCCATACCAAACGTAAAACTCTAAAAATTGAGATTAAAGGGCGGGTCCTCGTAATTGTGGAGTGGTAACGCGTTTTTATTGTGTGTTGAAATGACGTAGTGGTCTAAAATCTAAACTGAGCGTAGGTATACTATTTCACAGTGGAAGCCAGCTATCTGAAATAATGCCCGACGGATGTACAGGACGTAGAACTCAAAAAAAAATTAGACTAAAAAACCAAGCTCCCTGACACAAACTCCATGCTGCGCCAAAATGTTCTAGCAAGATCGTCCCTCTTACATATAACCAACCTTCCAAGAAAGAACTCTTGAGGGAAATGTTAAATCCAGGAAGAATTCTTTTCACACTTCTTAATAACCACGTGGGACTTACCGAAAAACAAGCCACGAAAAGACATGACTAAAACGCTCTAAGATTTTTATCTAGCCCTCAGCGCGTGAATATGAAGCCACAAAAAGGCTGGATCCATAATTTTTTCAAACGATGAAAATTAATTTGAAAGTACAGTAATGGGCGCCGCTCTTGAATTGGAGTCCCCTAGGCTCGGCGGAGGGATGCCAGACTTTTGCGGACAATGGAGTTAAACAAATCGGTCTAAAGTCATCATTTTTTTTCTTTGGAACCTAAAGAGTACAGGCTCGTCGGAAGAGAGGTTGGTGTTAAACATAAATGACAAAATGTTTTTAGAGACGCCATTCAGAAACCGACGCTCGTGCTGTCATTGAGATTTCTTTATTTTAGACCAACCAGTATTGCATATTGTTGGATGACAGAAGTAGTAGAACAAGTTGCGTTATTCATGCGGTTCGAACAAGTTCCAATCGTTGGCTGTGAGGAAACAAGTTTTTGAAGCGAAGAACTCTTTCGGGCCAGGAAGCAGTTCCAGGTCAAAAAAATAGAACCGCATAATAAGAATGTCCAGCTGATTTCCAAACTGGTCGAAAATCCTCCATCGGCAATTTATGACAGTTCGAGAAGAGGACGTTAGAGCTGCAAGACGCTCGTCCATACAGTTTCCCTTATCAGCCTGTTCACTTCTGCCCATTCATTGTTCCGCCATAGCACTAATGAAATGGAAATTTTTGCACTGTACTTGCCGCTTATAACGATACAACGACAACCGTGGCTTGTCTTCTGCTAAGATGACGCCAAAGAAATCCTGTAAAGAACCAGCTTAGAAGTCAATTTAGGATAAGGAGAGTAGAATCGAACATAGTAGAGCTCAGTTTTAGGTTTGACGTTGTTGCATTGGATGAGTCATGGCATTGCATGGCACGGAGAGGTATGGATCTAACTAAGCTTAAACAGTGCAACAATACATATTAGGGGAGGTACTTCGACTGGGTCCTCGAAGATGTCATATTAGTTGCGCATAGTCATATAGTGTGGGCACGTCGTGCTCGGATTGCTCGATTTTCGTCCGCTATATCTAACACCGAGATACTCGAGTATAACATGACGGGAGGCTCTATGAACACGTTCGACAGGTTCAAGGGATCTCAATCTTGACCTTGCAATGGGTATAATAACGCGACATGTCGAATCTCCTCAGTTTCTGAGAATTCGCTTTCGATAGTGCTGTAAACCCCACAACCGTTGGGGTCTCGAACCAGCTGTGAAAGGCGATAAATCTGCTCACGGTTTCCAAATATCTTGTTATAACTTTAACAAGTTATAATATATATATATATATATATATATATTGGATATAGGATAACAGAATATTTAAAATGCCTTTAGCGTCAAAAAGATCTTTTTAGAGTGATACTAACGCCTCAAATAGACTTACTTCCAGAAGTCTTATGGGGTATGCACGTCACACGTAATTTTGAAACAGGCAGCCGACTTCTAGCTTGCTCACGGTCTGTTAATTCTATTAAATATTGGCCGGTTACAATATATTTCTTGCACTTATAACATTCAAAAAGCAAAAATTCATCATACGGAAAATCAATTTTGGGATCATATTCCGTAAAACGTAGTACAAAGCGCATTTCTGTCACGTTCGATTTTAGACGTTGGATAGGGGAATTTGATCTCGCCAAAGTTTAGGTATATTAGAGTATGACACGAGCTAGAAGTGGGAAGTCACACAGCAAGATATTTAGATTTCACTGTATTTACGCTGCTTTTAGATTATTGCGGACGCTCCATGGTGACTGCCTTGTAAAGCAAGTTACTACTCGTGTTGCTATGTGATATATATTAGGCTAAAACAAATACTTTGGTTTATTGTGAGTGTTTCCGGTTCCATTCATTTCAAAATGGTTTAAGAACTCGTTCAACTTAATTGAAAAAAGCTGCTGTGAGCTAGAGAATACAAAGCTTGTGTCTCTGACACGAGTTCGTGTGTCTGTTTTAAAAACCTAGTAGTGGAAGAACACATTTCTGCTGCGATAAGCAACCCACAAATGTTATTCTGAGCTACTCACGTTAGAACGTTTCGAAGAAAAATGTATTTTTTGGAATTGCTATATTCTCAAGTGAAGACACATTGATGCGTGACTTTACAAGGTTTGTGCATGCTTATATCTGCTGATGGTACTGAAAGATTAAATACGACGGCAGTTTCATGCGATTCAAAGGAAGTAAGACTATCAACTATGTAATACAACTAAATGAGGACACGGAATTGCTGGAAACTAAAACTGACCTTTATAGATTAACGATTTGGATACGGGTTTCAGCATCATTTGTGTACATGTTTTCTATCACTTGTCAGAGCCCAAAGCGTTAAGAAGGGCTCTCTTCATTCATTGAAATGATCATAATGAAATCATCGCATGGCCGGCTGCAACCGTTATACTTTAAATTCTAAAATTATTTTTTTGTCTCTTAGCTCACGCTTATAACTATGTACATTATATATATATATATATATATATATATATATATATATACATGCTTGTAAATAAAAGACCAGCATACGAAGCATAGATAATTAATGCTATTAGTCTCGATGCCCGACCAAGCTATAGAGATAAAACAATTACATGTTTAATGTAATTTGGTTCATAACCTAATTTTTGCTCTTCTCCTCTTCTTTGTGCTCGGCCTCGGCCGCATTTGAAGTGCCAGTATCAGAATTTCGCGACTTCTCGTCAGCCATTTTTTTATAAGCAATTTCAAACAACTTCAGTGACTGCTGCTGAAGATCTTGGGTTGCTACCTTAATTTGTTCGCTTGTATACTCATCCTTCTTAGCCAGCATTTCCCGTACCTTTGAAACTTTTTCCAACAGCTGGGCTGATTCATCGGCAGGCAGTTGATCCTTGAACTCTTTAACCTTTGTTTCAGTATCATGTACAATACCCTCAGCCTGATTGACGGCTTCAACTACCTCTCTCTTTTTCTTATCTTCTTCTGCAAAGCGCTCAGCGTTTTTAATCATATTTTCTATCTCATCCTTAGACAGGCCCCCGCTTGACTGAATTACAATCTGCTGTTCCTTGCCAGTGCCCTTATCACGAGCTGACACATGTACAATACCATTCGCATCAATATCGAATGTGACTTCAATCTGAGGCACGCCTCGCGGAGCAGGGGGAATACCGACTAAGGAGAATTCTCCTAGAAGTTTGTTGTGCTCAGCCATATCTCTTTCGCCCTGGCAAACTTTGATCAAAACTTGTGTCTGGCCGTCGGCGGCGGTTGAGAACACTTGACTCTTTTTTGTTGGGATTGTTGTGTTACGATTGATGAGCTTCGCCATAACACCACCCAACGTCTCAATGCCAAGAGACAGCGGCGTAACATCAAGAAGAAGAACATCCGTTACGTCCCCAGCAAGCACACCACCCTGAATGGCCGCCCCGACTGCAACTGCCTCATCAGGGTTTACCGCCTTTGAGGGAGCTTTGCCGAATATCTCTTGTACAATCTCCTGCACTTTTGGCATACGAGTCATTCCTCCAACAAGGATAACGTCGCCAATGTCTGACTTCTTCACTTCCGCGTCTTGCATAGCCTTATTACAAGGCCCCACAGTACGTTTAATCAGGTCAGCAACAAGCCCTTCGAACTTTGAGCGCGTCAACTTGAGATTCATATGTTTAGGTCCAGATGCATCCATTGTTAGGTAAGGTAAATTAATGTCGGTTTGCACAGATGCAGACAGCTCGATTTTTGCCTTTTCGGCAGCTTCCTTAAGACGCTGCATTGCCATGGCGTCCTTTGTAACATCAATTCCCTGGTCACGCTTGAACTCATTTGCGAGGAAAGTGACTAAAATGTTATCAAAATCTTCTCCGCCAAGAAAGGTATCTCCGTTAGTCGATTTAACCTCGAATACACCCTTTTGTATTTCTAGAATGGAGATATCAAACGTTCCACCTCCAAGATCATAAACAGCAATAATTTTATCATCTGTTTTATCCATTCCATAAGCAAGTGCAGCAGCTGTGGGCTCATTAATTACACGCAGCACGTTCAGTCCAGAAATTTGGCCAGCATCCTGTAATGACAAATAGTAGGTATTGAAAACATCTTTATAAAACTCATAAGAAATTTCTGGGAAAATTGTGTGAAATAACCAACTTTTGCATAACTTGTAAGAAAAAAGAAAGATTTTTTTGTGGAGCTCCCTGGTTCCAACAATTATGAAACATCTACCCACAAAAGTCGCATATTCCTTGAAATTCCTAACTACTTTACATAAATTTAGTTTTCCAACGCAAATAGTTTTTCTACTGTGTTACTCTGAGGCGTTTCTCCAAAAATTAATTGCGAAGTTCTACAAATATCCACATTATTACAATACCTTCTGATTTAGTTTCTCAAAGCATCTGCATTTAATTCTTAAAGTAGATAGTTTCATCTTGAGATAGCGACGAGACCGAACATAATGTATTAATAATAACATAATGAAAGTTTAATTGCAATGAAACCAAGGGACAGTTAGCACAAATAAGGGCTATTTGTTATAGGTTGCAGAATGACACGGACATATCTAAATCGAAATAATTGAACAATCTGAATGAGGTGATCAAATTACTAAATGAATTTGATCTAATTGCTTTAAAAAAGTATAGAATAGCACAAAGGTGAAATTACGAAAGAGTCTAGAGGGTTCGGCAAAATAGGGTCATTGATGAGTTGTAACGAAATAACAAGCAACAGGCTAACAGTATTACAGAATGGTAGAACAATTGCAACGAGTCTAAAGAGAACTGTAGCGAGATAAAGGGGATAACCCAACGGAGTAATAAAACAACTAACATTTAAGAATTCTAGTTCAGATTGGGCGGGTTCAACCTTGATTTAAATTAGATTTGACAACAGCCCCTAATTTCCGCTTAAATTTTTCAAGATAGTTAAGAAACTGCTTTTTGCACCAATTTGATAGACATTCCAGCACTTTCAATCCCTAGTGGATTTTCGGTTTTGTTTCATGGAGGGCCTTTTTGATTTATCCAGAAACGACAGAAAAATCAGCAAAAATGAAGACTGCCAATTTCGGGTAACCCAGAAAGTTCGTTAGATGCGAAGACACTGGACACTAGCTGATCTTTGCACATATTATACGACAGATCTCCGGCTCAATCCTAGCGTTTGTGATTTTGTTCTAGAAAAACTTTAGTTTCCCCTAATACAAAGAAGATCAAAGGAATAGGTACCCGCGACGACAAAGGCTCAACACAAGTTATTCTAAACACACATACGTATATATATACATGGTCTACTCTGGCACAACTATACTGCGGATTTTGAAAGAGTTGAATAACGTCCTATGAGAAATTTTAGTACTATCTCGGAAGTAAGAACAAACCGGTTACATTGCACGGTTCTTCTTCGGTTACACGGTAATTCATATCTTTTTAATTCAATATCACATTATTTGCGGTAGTTCATAAATTCGGACTCTATGACTTATATCGAAATTCCATAAAAAGAGTCACAAACCTTCGTAGCCTGACGTTGTGAATCGTTGAAATACGCCGGTACCGTGACAACAGCATTTTTTACAGTCGTGCCCATGTAGCCCTCGGCTGTTTCCTTCATTTTCATAAGCACAAATGCTCCTATTTGAGAGGGGGAATACATTTTCCCCTGTGCTTGCACCCACGCATCGCCGTTTGAAGCCTTGACGATCTTGTAGGATGAAGTCTTCATGTCTTTCTTTACTTCGGGATCCTCAAATTTTCGTCCGATTAGACGCTTAGTAGCAGAGAGCGTGTTTGCGGCATTCGTAACAGCTTGTCTTTTTGCCGGCATTCCAACAAGACGTTCTCCGTCATTTGTGAAGGCCACAACTGATGGGGTGGTTCGCGCGCCCTCGGCATTCTCAATTACCTTTTCACCCCAAAAAAAAGCAAAAGAAATATAGCAGAAGAAAGTATAAAATACTCATAAAACAAATATTTATATATAGTGCATTTCCTGTAAAAACCGTGAGCATCTACCAGACCGTTAACATATTGCACATAATGGTTTTAGAAATAATGTTTATTTTGTATAAATCAAAAAAGATCCAGCTGACCTGACATATATAGGATATTCTGATAGGAAAATTCAACTTTGAACTTCTACCGAAAACTTAAAATCGTGCGATTTTCGAGTTGGAATTTTTGTCCCTGAATTTGTCAATTACACTCTTATCTTTGTTGTTATACTTCGGGCGCGAAAATATAACCTTGAGTGCATTACTCACTTGATAAGGTTAATAACAAAACTTTTCAGATATATTCAAAATACTAGGAAGCTTTTTTGTTTTTATTATATATATATATATATATTACGTATTACCTGCATAGTTCTAGTTAAACGCATATAATGAGAACATAAGATACTCGGGCTTTAATGCAAGCTACGCACTTACAGTATAAGGAGCGCAAATGTTGAGATTGAATTCCATAGTAAACAAATAGTGCTTACTTAAATGCTTACTGTGTGTTTAGCTACATTTTTAGTACCTGAATTATAATAAGAATCAAATGAACCTGTCTGAATATGTTTACGTACTTTTGGCTGTTTTCCTTCCATTACGGCAACACAAGAGTTAGTTGTACCGAGATCAATTCCAATCACAGCCCCTTTAACCTGTGTATCTGATTTATACCGTAGCCCTGTCGTGGTTGTACTTCCGGCAAGGTGTACCGCGGCACCTAAATTAAACATACGGACATAAATAGAATTTTAAAATCTTGTAGAAGGAGTTTCTTTAGCCTCTCTTTAGTCTCCACCTGCGCCACTTTTTCCATTATTGCTTTAATGTGTCTTCTATGGCGAAAAGCAGAAGCGCTGAGATTTGCATCGCTGACAAAAATTATGTCCCTACCTTTCCTCCTTTACCACCATTTAGACCGCCAGATTCGACGAATTTTTCTCGACGAAAACTTCGCAGCCGTCACCACCATCACCAGCTTTTAGGTACAGTTTAGCTTCGTCTATGAAGTCCATGCCAATTCACGATATCAGTTAACACTTTCTTCTAATGTGCTTCCTATTCTCATTAGCTTGTTATATGTTGTAAATCTATTAGAGTGTGGTAGCGAACCAGTTTTTATTTGTTCACGATTTGATGCAACTGCTATATGAGACATCATATCGTAATTTTTTCTGTTTCTCCTAATCGGTGAGAAATGGCAGCTTTGTAGCCATTTGATTTCATTTGATTCAGACAGCAGAAATTTACATTACTGTTCATATCAGATTTGGTTTGGATAGTAAAGCATTTGCATTTTTTTCCTCTATTCCTTTACGCAATTATTATCTCTTATTATTAACTCGCAATTATTTATAAAGAAACCATTCCCGACCCAATGAACTTTGTTTCCAACCTTCTTGATCTTCTGCATCTTCTATGGAAATTAGTAAAACGTAATGGAATTTTGTACCTTTGATGAGTAAAATAAGGTCAGTGAACTCTAACGGATATCTTTCCTTATGTGGCCTTGAGTTAAATAACTTAGAATTCTGGTAGTGAATTCGAACGTAGTATTGAATTGTAGTTAGATCACAGATAACGATATATGGGCAAAGTACCACTATATCTTTGCTATACAAAATTAAGTTTTTGTTTATTTGGTATTTTATTACCGTATGCTTACCATAACAGTATTTTATCGATCTCCATATTTGTTCTACGAAATATAAGAAAGAAAAATAACATTGATGCAACAGGTATTCGTAAGCAACTCCAATCTTTTTTCTCTTCCGTTCATTTTTTAGCTACATTTAATCCAGATTTTTGGTTATCAGTAATTTAGTATATATATATATATATATATACACTACTAAGTTTATATATATAAACTTAGTAGTATATAGTAAACTCTACATTTAGTATATATATAAAATTGTATTCACAATTTCAATTCATCTGCCGGTTATTTCTTCTGACCCCATCCCGTCAATAATTCCATCATGAATCTGTGGCTGTGTTTCTAAAGGCACATAGTCACTTAGCGCTACCTAGCGTCGCAACAATCAAATAAGATCCTAAATTCTGCATAATAGCATTACAGTAAAACCAAGACTACGCTCAAAGCACACTGACATACCATCTAATATAGCGGAAATAATAAATAACAGCATTTATAGTTCTAAGCTTTACGTTCCGCTTTGTAATAGGCTTTCTGTGTTAAACATAACTAGTTTCATAGGCAATTATAAGCACGTGTGATTTTTGATGGCAAAAATTAACATCATTTTTGTTAAACAAATGAAAACCATCAACTTTATGCTTTAATGTAGCTTGTTAGTGTATAGTGTAGTCCGACAGACACCAAAAGTGTGTCCATAAGCATGCCTTAAGAGTAACGAGGTCTTTTAGCACAGCCATCCCCCTTTCTGATCTATATAATTCAACGTAAAGTCAGAAAGCTCCTCAACGTTTCCGCATTGCCTAGATTTAGTATGTATATTCGCGTGATGATTTCAATGTAAACATTTTTCTAAATCAATTGCCAGCATAGAAGGAATGATGACGACGTAAGTTCATTACGCACGGAGAAAGCAAGATGAGATCCTCAATGTCGCTTTTATTTGCTTATATTTCGCCCATAATTGCAGCAGTGCTATGAGGTATTGCATTATTATTAATTGCCACACGAAGCGGTCGAATCACACAAAAAATTGATAATAAAAAATACATTTTGGTGTCGTCATGACAAAATCTAACAATGCATTAGCAGCATAAGACGTATCCCCTGAGGCTGCGAAGGATTTAATTATAAAACGGGTTCTATGTACAACTAGGCCCATAATTAACCCATTTTATAAATATCTTTATATAAGTATCATCATTACTTTTTTTATTTTCTTAGCATATTTATCTAGTAGCAAGCTGGATGAACTATCCCCTAATCAAAGCCAAAATTTCGCTTAGCAGTTTTCAATGACGCTGAATTCTGGAACTTCACCTTACTAATTCAAACTTAAAAGTGGATGTCAGAATAAAAACTGTAATAACTGTTGCACCTTTATGGGCAGTTTATTGTACTGATGAAGTTGAAGGAGTTAACAAAATGCGCTCCTTTTAGGCTCGATATGGGAATCTTCGAAATAAGTAAAATTGTAACGAAAACACTTAAGTTTAAGAAAAAAAAAAAGCAAGAATTGGGTTGCTCACGAAATAAATCCAGGAAATATAGAAACACGGATTGTATATTTTTTGAGACGATATGAGCAACAGTTACGCGCAAGAAACCCACCGGAAGCATATTTTCGTCCTGGACAAGACATAGGCAGTCTCTGCCCCCTACCAGGAAAGAGTAAACGAGGGCAGAAGCTTCGAACAAAATGGGAAGTGGCTTCAATAGTAATCGCAAATAGATTCGGGCACAGTATAAATCTTATACTTAAATTGATATATGCGGCATTTGTTATTACGAGAAACTGCCCGAAAAGAAAGCCGTTGATGTTGCCAGATACCTTAAATTTCTAAAGAGCACTATAGATTACGGATGCGCCAGTCAACCGCAGGCAGCAGAGTTATCCGACAAGAACGCACGACTTTCTCATCAGGCTTCAATCACGACCTGGATGGAGAGATGTCTTTCGCTCCTATATTCTCCGAATTTAAGATACTGTATGAATTGCTTTCATGCCTCAAAAAACGATAGCTGACGTAGCATACTCTACGGTGGGATATCGAACAAATCCTCGATAACCAAATTAGATATGGCAATACAGATCACTTGATTGAGAGATTGAGAATAAACTTCAAAGCGCTGGCTTCATTACGTACACAACATAAAAGGGTACGCCTAACATATAGCGGCGATAACGTATACGTTTTCAAAATGAAAAATGTTACTTATAAAAAGCAAAAAACCCTCGCAGTATACTGCTTTACTCAAGTAGGCATCCCTGGTGTAAGGGTCAATTCCTTAAGACTTCTTTACGAATAGATGCCAACGTTGGTACATCGTAAAATTTTCACAAAATTTCAGTAGCAGTTTTAGGTGAATGAAGAAAAAGGTCTGCCATTATAGTTGAAAGCTTTTTTTTTCACGCTGCCATGTTTGCAAACTGGAAGGTCCCCTTAAAATAAAAAGAAAATAATGCAATCTGAAAATGGCTATTAAATATATAGAAACTCGCTTTGCCAATCACATAATATTTGTAAAGCTGAGGAAAAATCCGGGATTTCGGTTTGCTCTTCTCGACATATTCTCCACGTTAGTGCATATAAAGGAAATAGCTTTTTTTTATCATCTTATAAATTAACGGCTTAACAGCTTAACGGCCTTCTAAGATACTCTGCTATAGCTCTAAAACGAACATAATAAAAAATACTAGTCACATATAAGCCCTCGGCATTACAAATGTGTACCCGATAGGACAAAAGGTGATAAATCCAGTTATGTAAGTCAAGGATAATTGGAGCGCTATTATAACCTTAATAATCTATTTTCCGAATAAGAAGATAAAGGAGTACGAGAGAGAAGTTGGCAATTCACGCAGTTAAGACAGCGGGTGGTATGCACGGAGCGTACACAGGAATTGATAACTAATCCTGTGAGTCAGTCCAACACTGATAGCAGATAGCAAAAATCGAATCCGTCGTCCGTAATGCACTGAAGCTAAGCTTTTATAAATTGTAGACATCTGAAGTTTACATGAAAACACAAATTATTGCAAATTGTATTTGTGAACACACAATAAAGAATACGTGTGTAAAAGTCCTACAAAACATTTTGTCACTTAAATGGTTCTGCCAGTAAAACATGTAACTTGGTATACAAAGGGTTCTATTAATTATATAATTTGACACATGAATGACGCTGCTAATGAAATACCAGTTAGATACCGGCGTTCCCGCGCGATTGCCGCAGGGCAGAAGAAGTGTCGTAAAATCTGTTTTAAGCACTTTAGTCAGGCAATATTTATTGATACAAATTGGCCATGAATTACATATAGAACTATCTTAAAATTGTTAGGTTGTTCCTACAGCACGTTTCTTAATATAGAGATTTTAGCCAGGTTATCATGTTTTGTTCAGTCTGATGCAATTAATCGCGCACCCGCAATATATTACCTTTAGAGTATAGAGAAGAGCCGCCCGACACGCCGCACCGGCTGAAAATTTTTGCCACTCGAAGCATTTTTAAGCTTAATAGATAGAAGACAGGGACACGTTCAACTGCAGTGAAACCTCAAATCCAAGGCGCAAATAAGAATACTTTCTTGCTTGAACGTAGAGCGCTGCCACACGTGCAGCACTACCTCTTCTTAGTTTAATATGGCGGACAGTTCCAATCCTTCGCCTCGAGGAGAAGCTTATTTAATGTTTCACTAAAAAAAATCGATTCTGTTGTAAGCAGCTAATGAAGTATCACAAATTATGTGATTTAGGCTAGGCCCGTTCGGGTAGTTAGATATTAAAACAAGTACAAAGTTCGCTATTTCGGGTGACTTTAGGGGTAATCTATCTGATCTGCTGAGTGGGACTTCTATGTAACGATGACCTCGATTCTGACCGTGGAAAATGCTGGAAACGTTCATTTCAATTGACATTTTCGCTTAATTTTACTTTTGAGGTCGTATTAATATTTCCTCTTGCAGCCCATAAAAATTGTTCATGAGGTAGCATAACATATTTGCTATGATTTCGGACGAAATCGTCTTGGCGCCAAGAAGTTTAAATTTATTATTCAAAAACTGGCGCTGTGGTGGAACCGAACGGCAACCACCACTGACCTTCCAGCCGGAGACTAACCTGTGGTAAACTGGGCGCTTGATGAAAGACGAAAAGTGTCTTATTATGAAAATTTTTAATGTGTGAGGGGTGCTCTTACTTGACCCGTAGTGGAGCGTAAGTGAACCATCTGTGGTGAAGTCGCAGGCCGCTAGGCCAGGCGCGTCTACCTTACCGCCAATTGCCGCCTTTCCTGGTTCTTAAGGTGTCACAGCTCTCAAACCAGCAACAACTCTTGTCTAATTCTAGTCTCGAATAATAATAGTAATGTGGTTTGAGGCCTAGCCACCTGACTCTAGTTGTGTGTTGTGATTGTGTCCGTGGACTGTGTGTTAATTGAGCCGAATAGCTAGTTAAGTGATGTAGGTGAGACGAACCAAAAATCTAAGAAGGCAGAAGATACGAAAACGATCTTTCTGCAGTAGGGCACATCGAGGCCGTTGCTGGTCGTCGCTGCTGTTGCTCCAATCCCACCGGGCGCGCCCTGATAAAGGTAAGTAGTACTCGAGCTTCCATGTAAGACAAGTTCTGTCATTCAAGACCACTATGTATGGGAGACGTGAAAATCCTATTGATATTGTGGCAAGAGTTGTTCACTATCACTTGCCAATGACGACTCTAGACGTGCTTCCGCTGCACCGCTGTGGACATCCACAAAGGTGACTGACCCCTTGGCTGTCAAACGTGCCTTCCTCGAGGCTGAATCAAGGCAGAGCTCTTATATGGACATACTTTCAGCTAAAATGATAAAATTATATTTATCATATATCATACATTCTCACATAGATAACGGCTTATCACACAAATATCGTTACTATGATTTCTACTATACAGTTTCATCCTATTGTTCTTTACCGTTGAAATTGCTTCTATAATTTACACATTTAGTTTGAAGATACCGATACTAGTTACCGCAAAACTGCAATGCTTTAACGAGGACCAATCATAGCGGTGTTTGGAAGGCGCACGATTATTGGACTTATGCTCCCTTAGTGCGAATTAGCAATTGTGAAGGTATAATCTAACGAGATATTTTAGTGCATGTTTTCACCAGGTAACAAGCAGGGCTTTTCGCATCTATGAACTAGGTGTTCCTAGAGAACGTATCGAGCAGCTCTTCCCATGCAACTATACAGTGCATGTATTGTAGTAGCAAATGAGTAAATTATTTACGTATCATTGTTTCTTAAATTATATATCGGCTTTGGTTAACAAACATAAGTATGATTGAAGCCTTACATATGTATAAAAAGAGAAGCCGACCTAGCCTGAAGAAAAAGCTTGAAATAGCTCTCACAAGGTAGCATAATGCACCAAGCTACATACACTTATAATATTCTATTATAATTATGCTGAAGTGTTTTATTGATACTCACACAGGGGGGCGATTATAGGCAATTTATTGATGACAATTCGACCTTATTCTTCTCTTTAAATGGTCATAGTAAAATCTGCTATCGTCTAAATATTATCTTGTCGTGAACGCTGTTATCATTGGCTCACGTATCTCATTTTTGCTAACTGCGCCAAAAAGGTAAAACATGAGTTAAGTAAATTTCGGGCGCAGAAAACCATAATAAAACATTTGATTTTTGAGCAAGAGGGCTTTGGATGTAAATATGAATACTATAGGCGCGCCCAATTAAGATATCCCCGATGCAAAGCTAATTTCTTTTATTTTTTTAGAGTTCTCTGAATACAAAGAAGGCATTGACGATGTAATATTTGCGGTTGTTCGGAGAAATCCAATTTTATAGGAGTAATAAGAATAATAACAGAAGAGTAATAAGAACTAATGGTTGTAAATCGCTAAATTTAATAAAATATTTCTTGGCTCTGTTTGCGTAAATATTAGATGTTATTTAGTACTATCGAAACACTTTAAAATCAGCCAATTATCATATTACAAATGCGATCATTTATATATGATTTACGGTGCCAGTTTTCAAGCTACTGTAAAAACACAGCTCTGAGGGCTTCATTGTGTGACAAATACTGTGATACTACGCGTTTGTTTGTAGAACCTAAAATTATGTCGTGGTCTAGGTTTGAATCCAAGCGTAGGTACACCTTGTTTCGTGCTGGAAAGAAGCTATGCCTAACGGCTTGAGTATCCGGTTAAAAACATTTAATATTCAAACGCTAGTTGTTGTTTGTTTGTGTGAATTTTTCTAGTATATTATTTAGTAACGTTTGGAACACTCTAAATATAGCAAATTCGACCTGTAAAAATGTTAGAATACGTTACGGGAGAAATTTAATGACAAAATTGTTCTTCTATGATGTTTTGGCTAACATCAGATATATTACTGATCTTCAAAAAACAAGATCGTCAATGCCATACAAGACTCACGCGTCAGCCATAATTGATATAGATGACATACCTTGCGAGAAGAATATCTGATCTATGTTACCGCTTTCCTAATATTTAGAAAAGAACTATTTGGGTATGCAGTGATCGTATAGCTTTACGAATAAAGGTGCAGCAGGTTTTAAAAAATAATTTTTCTGTATCGAAAACAAATATAATTGTTGTCTTTATTTCTTATATGTCTTATCCTACGATATTCTTCGGCGCTAATAAATAGGTTTTGATGACACTGATTATAAAGTTATTCAGTAATAATAATAAACAATTATGTGATAGAGATATCTGTATAGCAGTGGTTTGAAATATCAACTACAAGTGATTCCAGATGACGTTTTAGAAAAAACTGGTTCAGAACCATCAGATAATGAGTGCATCAGAAGTGCCGTGAGCACTTCTGATGCATTCATTTATTAGGTAGCTAAAATAAATGTCAAGCAACATAGTGGTCACATAAACTTCTTCACGATTAGAGAAACATGTTTGGCTATATATGAAATGTTTACCGATGACTTTTCACAACGTCTTTGTGCTTTGCTAGATAAACTAGTTGTCAGCCTTTGGGTACACAAATCATTAAATGAAATTGTGATAAGTCCGTTTCTTGTGTTTTACGTTCCAGTGCACAAATAATTCCATTCGGCTGGCATGCTTAATTGAGATTCACCCTTTAGCTTTCGGGCCATCTGCTTTCGTGCAAAAATGGACGAATCTTCTGCAGGTTCAGTAGAAGACCTCTACGGCGGACTGTGTCCTTTAATGAAGACCGATAAAAACGATACAGATTGTTTGCCCTCACAAGCTCAGACTGGATACTCCTTACCAGCGACCGATATGCGTAGCCATCGTGTAAATCAATGTGAAAATCAGCGAAACCAAGAAAATGATGAAACTTCAGACCAAGATGAAGACCACGAGGATGAGGATGCCCTTATCATTGACGCACAGGTAAGGACCACGTACAGTAGGGTGTGAAACATATCGGGCCCGTGAATCATTTTGACAATTATAAATTTAACATCATAGCACCATTCATGGTCTGAACACGAAATACCATATGTAGTTATGTTTAATAATGAATATACCATACATTTAAGGTTAATACTCAGAAATAATCTCTTGAAAATTTCGATTTGAAAAGACGTCCGGAAGATCACACAATTACATCATAATTTAGACGGAAATTTTATTATTTTTCTAAAAGGTAACATTCTTGGGTTTAGTAGCTTTTGTTTGTTCAGCAATATTTAAGGCTAAGCATCTTAACTATAATCTGTAAAAAATTGTGCAATGTGTATTAGTATCTACGTATCCTATTTATTACGAATTTTCATCGATAAAACAATTGAAGCATTCGTTAATGATATTATAATCTTATGTATAATCTCTAGGAACTTCCGCACAGCATAATTTTTTAGCTTCCAGCTTTAAGAGATCCAGGCCGGTACACGTTTAGTCATTTTGTTCTAATCTCGGAACTACTTTCATTTTAAGTAATTGTTTTCCTCTCATTTGTTTGAGTAAATAATACAATGTCTCAACGCAGTGTAGAAGACCTAATAGAAATATTGTGAGCAAAATGTAAAAAAACTGTTTAGCGAAAATAATACTGGAGATTATGATGAATGGTATATAAATTAATGGTAATGCATTTCATTAGGCATGATCTAAAGGACTACAAAATGCAGTCGTGGCGAAAGCACAGTTCTTACCATTGACTTGTTGTTGTGGCACGATTTGCTGAAGCTTTGGGGCGGAAGATACGATTAGTTTATGATTGGGGTGGTGCACGGCATAAATTGTCAAAATAGATGAAACACTGAGATGACAAAGCTGTTCATGCGTCAGATTATTCGATATTAACTCAGTTTCTCATAAGTAACACTGGAAATTTTTTTTACAAAAAATTAAAAGAAGCATTAAGCGTGGGAGGCGTAGGTTTTGATTTCTGCGTAAAGAATCGACATTCTTGTCATATCCCAAGAACGTTTGTACGTTTTGTAGCGCTTGTATTAATATTGTGTCTTGGAAACGATAGCAACTATAATAAGTTTTAGATATATAAAAAAATATTCGGTGATAACCGTATTATTTTATAAATTGTAATGAATTTCAAAGACCGAAGTAAAAAACATTTCATGTGGACTAGTTGGAGTACAATCATCAGCGAGGAGCAGCGAAGTTCTGTGATGAATTCGTAGCATAACAGGATGTGATAAACATGAGCCATGAGAAATTACGAAATATGCGAGACACCAGGAATCCACTGATTCTTAGAATTACCTGAGAAAGATATAGTGAAACTGGGCGTCAAAGTACACTATCAGTACAAACAGAAGTGCTGAAAATTATAATAGCGGGAGAGTCACAGAAAAGTGCGGTAAGCGCGAAGCAACAGCGCGAAGCCCTAAGAGGAACACCCTCGGCCTTTTACATGTGAAGACGAAAAATAGGAGAAAATGAGAATAGTTAGCATATCGAATCGGGTATAATGAAACTCGCCTCGTACAGAAGTGTTCTACGTACATAAACCAGATATAGGAACGAGAAGGTGTCGTTTTGAATGGGATGGCTGATAAAAAAACTACATAATCCAACAAGATTTTTCCGACTATGTGACCTGTTCCTAATCATCACTATATCTTTTAAGCAGGAAGACCCTGAGCCTACGACTGAAATAGCGCCGGGAGGAGGAGGAAATGTAATCATAGAGGGCGTAAAAGATCCTTCCGTCTTTGCTTTTCCCCGCACTAACTACTCGGAGGACTTCGCGGCTTTAGAGTCAGGGGAATGGCGCCTCCCAAGCAGTGCCGCCGAGTGTTTGCCTGGCGAAGGGTCTCTCAGCGTGTGTCTTGACCAAATACAAGGTGTTTCCACTTGTGTAACTGGGGACAATGCGGCACCCAGCACTCACAGTAAGTATCAAATAAATTTATTAAGTACGTTGTACTAAATATTTACTTTCCAGTTTGGAAATCATATTATTAAGGTTAAACACTAGTGGCGTCAAAAAAGATATGGCAGATGTGTCCGAGCATTGTCAAAGTTCCTGGTACATCTGCTAACTGAATTTCAGGGCAAGCACATAATATTATAATCCCTTTGAAACTTCCGTTAATATTAGAAATCTGGTACCGCCGATAGTACTGGGGTGAAAGGCATTATATCACAAAAGCCTAGCTGTAATGCAAGTATTCTATTAATAAATCACATTTGTTTTTCATTTGCTCTTTTTTGAACGAATTGGAATTCATCTGCTCTCTGGCTCCTTGATGTTGACTTTGCCAATTTAGTTTTTGCTGTAATCGTATCAATTCAAACAATTTCATTTTCACATCAGCTGATCTTCATCTCGTCAAGAGGCCAGATGCAAGTATGGGCTCGTTTCTTGCTGCTAGAATGTTAGGGACCAAATACCGTAATGATGGTTCTTAGTGTGACAATCTTCGCCTCTAAATAATTAGTGTTGATGCCTTCAATACAACGAATCGTTTTGAAATTTCCAAGCGTCTTATAAATCGGCTTTCTCGTTGCGTTTGCTGTATAGTAATTGTTACATCTCTAATTGGAGGGACTTAAGTACTAAGTTTGTCGTTTTAAGCCAACGAGTGGCTACTCTTGCTAAAACATTTTTGGTCAAAAAATTGGTCCGAAGTATTTCTATTGAAGTTTACAAATTCTAATAAAATTTTAAGCTAAAGAATTTTATTAGAGAATAGGTTATAGTGAAAGCACTTAATAGTGCAGCTTTTGGCACCAGTAGGGGCTTGGTAACCCAGGTGTAGCTTAAGTCTCCCTTCATACTGTTCCATATCTGACGTTTTTTTTCCGGTTTTGGTAATTTCCAATAGTAATAATCCAATTTCAAGAGCGACGATCGCTAGTCCACAGGATATTCTGTGCTACACAGTACTATAAAGGTTCACAGTAATAAAATCTTTCAAATAATAGTGCTCTTCATGCCTTTCAGCCAAGAAATCCTTGTCCACTCAGTTATTCAATATCCGTGTGTTGTATATAACTGGCCATCTCCACTCGGCTGGGCACACTTTAAATTTAGTTTTTGCGGAATTTGTAGCAAACACCTGTCTACGCTTCCAAGAGCCTTTTTAAAAGTGACGCCAGATAACCGAACGAACTTTGTCTTTTGTAAAAATTCTTATCTTATCTATAAGTTTATCTTTTGCTATGATAAACTTAACCAGAATTTTTTATAACACTGCCAGAGACTAACATTTATACAAACCTGATAGCATCCAGGAAATTCTCCTTAGAAGACGATGGAGATGGGGAGCAATCGGATGATTCTTCCGTGGCTGTTAACCTTGAAGGTGACACGGACCTTGAGGATGAGCCGCCGATACCAAGCGAGGGGCGATTCTCAGAAGATCGAGACGTCCAACGCGAGAAACCATACAACGCGGAAGGCCAAACGCATCATTTTGGTGGAACAAAGAAAGAAGAAGATGCCCTCAGTGCCCTCAACAGTGTTTTGGACATACTCTGTAAGAGTAAACAGGAAAACACGAAAAACCAAAATGAGTTTGAAGACGAGTGCGAACACGAGGGGGATCTTGAAGCGACGTACAAGGGTCTTTACGAAAATCTCGAAGAACTCTCCAGTGGAGAAAGCTCGATTCCGAATGATGCTGATTCTAATGATGCGATGATAGAGGATTTACTTGAAGCAGCGTCGGAAGTTAGTTCCGGTGAAGATGAGATGCTGAAACGGAATGAGACGATTTTGGAACATTCCGCCGAAATGAAAGTAGAGAGGTCTTTTGACAATAATGGAAAGGAGGTGAGTGTCAGAAGCATATTTTTTTCTCTATATGGAGTGGCAGGTGAACACTATAATTATCTGATATCAAGTGACGTTATAACACTTGTCGTTTGTGCTACCAATATTCTGTCCCTTAAAGTAAAGAAGGCTTGTATATTTGTTTCTCACTTGATAATGTACTAATAAAAATACCTCCTAAAATTTGACAGATCGATTCATAAAGCACCTACGAACTGGAAGTGTTTCTGGTGGCCAGCGAAATGTATAATTAACTAAAGCAATAAGTCCAGATTTCTGGAAAAGTGGCTTACATAAAATGCCAAGCGTTTGTTTTCAAATTGCTTTAGCTAACTCAGTTGGTTAACAATTTAAGCTTGCTCCTAAATAAATACTTCATCAGTCCTTTATAACGCTGTCTGTAGCACTGAATTTTACCATTAAGTTGATATGAGAGCCTTACTGGAGTCCGTTGTAACCCGTTTAAGGGTTTATTATTATGTTACATGTGTTCGAGACATTTAAGAGGTCTTCATGAAGAAAGTTGATTTATATATACTAGGTATATAAGGTTTAGTAGGCATTATGCAGAATAGCCAAAAGTCACCACGTCTTTTATTTTATAGCGAGATGAGTAGCACGGTTACCTCTGATGAGTACAACGGTAGCTTTGAATTTTGCTCACTCACCCTCAATCTCTCTAAGTAATGATACAAGAGGAAAAGATTGACAACACGATGTAAACAAAATCCGTTAATGGATGTATATATATAGTGGGTTTTGGCATTGCTATTTAAAGATATTATTTTCCAGTATTACTTCTTTTACTACTTTCATCCCTTTGGATAAGACGCATTTTACAACAGTGTGTACGATGGTGTTGAGCTTAACGGGGTCATTTGACTAGACACCATAAACCGCAATGAAGTCTTATGATGTATTGTTCTCATGCGTTCTCCTCATAGACCTTGTATTTTTTACATGGCGAAAGAGTATTAAATAACGCAATGCTGGTTTTTCGTTTCAGAACGGAACTAATAAAAAAGAGGCAATGATTGCAAAGCCCGGCGTTACAAGCGTTAGTAGAAAAGAGGACTGCGATGCGGACACTGAGCCTACAGCCAGCACTGGGATTTTGTCAGATGTAAAAACAAACGGTATAGTGTCATCGTTTAAATTAAAACGCAAGACCGGTCTAGAGGAAGGGGAGTTATCAGATAGCAATTCTGAAGCATCGCATGCGTCACGTCGTATACATCGTTTAAAGCGGAAAAGACGCGAAAAAGAACGCGCAAGCTTGGGAGGTTTAGGACTCTCGGGTGGCCGCGTGCTAAAACTAACGAAGGTGACGAAAGTGTTGATCGGTGCTGAAACTCGTTCTTCACGCACACGTACTGTAAGCCCTTTGCCGAGCCGCCTTAGCCCTGGACTCAGTGGAGGTTATTCGTCCAGTGATAGTGACAGCCCGGTTAAAGCGCCACTTGTTCTTGACCACCGAAGTACTCTCATAAGGAAAATGCTTGTCCTGAGCCCTTCTCCACTGAGGGAAAGCAATAACAACACCCAGTCTGCCCAGTCTACTAGCGCAACTCTTACCTTAGCCGCCACGACAGTATCGACGGCCCCTGCAGAACCTGTGGGCCCGTGGAAAAAGCCTTCGAGTAGTTCGAAGCACCGTAACTATCGCCAGAGCGGGAATGATGTCACAACCACAAATCACCTTCAAACGACGCTTACCGTTGTAGCGAGCACGGGTAGTGGAAAGAAGGTAAGTAAGGCTATTAAAGTAGGTGTACATACATCTTTCAAAAGTATTTAAGTTATTTTAATACGTTAACAACATACTTCATTTGCAGAGGCGACCAGACCGTGAAGTATACCAGGTTCGTAAGCGACGAAGCAGATCAAGATCATCCGTTGTTCGGAGCGGTGGCGGTAAAAGGCACTCGGATACGCGATCGAAACGTCGCAGTAAGAGATCTTTATCACCAGAAAGAGATCGTGCTAGAAGTCGTTCGCCACGCCGTAGATCCAGATCGCGTTCTAGGTCTCGTTCGCCAACCGATAAGCGGAAGAAAAGCAAAGTACGGCGTAGGAGCACAGAAAGGAAGTCAAAAAAGAAAAAGAAGGCTAGGGGGCACAAAAAGACAAGAGTTGGCGATAAAAGTCGTAGTAGGTCAGTTAGTCCTCCCGCCACCCGGGATTCAAGAGAGATCCGCCGAAGATCTCCTGAAGTGAAAAAGTCGAAGAAAAGGTCACCAAGTAGGAGTGCATCTAGGTCACGCTCTCGAAGCCTCTTCTTATCTGGAAGAGACTCAGCCGTATCGAAAGATGATGTCGCAAATAAGAAGTCGTCGAAGTCCCCTGAGAATGCCATAAAAAGGCGGAAGAGAAAGGCCCATGACAAGCCTTTGAAGGATCGAATAGGAGAAGTTGTTGTTATCGATAGTAGCAGAGAAAATAGCCCGGTTGGAGAGGGTGGCGATGCATCAGGAAAAGACAAGGAAGAGAAAGAAGTGGTGGATACTGGCAATAAGGAAACCAAGGAGAAACAAATTTCTGCGAAAGGCGAGAATCTCGTTATTAACGTTAATTTTAGAAAGAAAAAGTTGCTTAATATTTTTGGCGATGACGCTTCGGATGAGGAGCCCGCCGAGAAAAGTTTGAAAGATGATAAAGCTGCGACTAAGTCATGTAATGTTAGTCCAGCAAGTGGCAAAAAGGGAAGTCCTGTGAGCAAGGGTCCGCAGACACCACCTTCCAATACTGCTGGTGATGAGTATGATCCGTGCGAGCCGTTAGCAGACTCACCAGGTGGTGGCTCTGCGACCCCAACAAATGATGAGCGAGATCAGCAGCCGTTACATCAGTCACAGCCGACCCGCATTCCAGGGTTGGGTTCCCCCTCGCCTCCTACAGGTGGAAGGGACTCACCGGCAACTCTACCATCACACGGACACGGAAAACCCACAGTAGCAGTTTTGCCAATAGTCGACAACAAATCACCGCGCACAAAAGATCAACGAGGCCGACGCTCTCCCGTGAAAAATCAGCAACCACCCCAACCGCCACTACCGCCACCACAGAATCGAGACAAGCCGCCATCGCCAGCTCCACCACCTGCTCTTGCTCCTCCGCCTGTGCCATCGTTCCTATTCAGCCAACCGCCACCAGCTGTTCAACCTCAATACATTGTCATGAACCCCTATTTGGTCAATCCGTATCATGCCATGATGCCCATGCAAGCTGCCACTGCTCCTTTGGTTGCACCGACTGCCCCCGTTACGCAAGTTTCATTAGCGACTGCTACGGGGTCAAGGGATACTGGAGCACCTGCTCCGGAAGGCAGTCCTTATTCGCCTGGAGAAAGTCCACTATTCAACGAGCCTATAACCCCGCCCACACCACTAAGCGCAGAAGAAACAGCAGGCGTATCTCCTGTTGCCCCCTCAAGAACAAGGGGAGGCGGAGTTTTCGATCAGATTGCTGCCGGTGTGACTAGGCAGTCTAAACGGAAGGAAAAGAAAAAACACAAAGTAAGCATAGTAAGAAAACATCTTACTTATTTATGAATACTGATATTCACAAAATCTTTCGTACTATTTCTATGAATATGTATGAATAGAGATAACCAACAAGAAAATTGATGATAATCTTATTGGCGCGTGTAAATTATGACATAACACGTTTTTTCTATTTTCAAAGCTGTGTCATGCATATTGTGTATTCACCAGATAAGATGAACTCAAACACAAACAGCTGTAAAGTTGATGGGAGATAATATGGCAGTGAAGATCGTATTTAATTGTGCAACATATCATCAAGAATACTTCAATAGCATTTTTGTATTCGTATAATACTGCATTATAAGCATATGACAGGGCATAATCTTCTATCATAAATATCTTATCCTACAATATAATACTATAGGAATATATAAATAGTATTAGGCCTCTTACAATTGTGTTGCGTAGGCGATTCCGCTTTGTATTATGACGATTTGCTATCTTCTGCTTTTTAATAGGTATAAAATAAAAGTTCTCTAGCAATAAGAAAAACTTCAACAGTCAAAATTTAATTTTAATATCCGCAAACGTTAGTATATAATCAGAGTATTACATTTGTTGTACAACAGGTCGTTGTGAAAACCGCCGGTCAACTTCTGGCAGAGTCAGGAGGCGACGGAGGCGATGGTACTGATAAGGAACGGTACGTCCGAATGGATGAATCTCAGATGAAGATACTGGATGAGCTGCCTTCTTCAGCTGTTGAGTTGCAAGTTAAAGAAAAATTCCTTCAGAAACTACATCGCCAAGAACGTGTCGTCGAAGAGGTTAAATTGGCGTTGAAACCTTTCTACAACAAGAAGCACATATCTAAAGACGACTACAAGCTCATCATGAAAAAATGCGTCCCTAAGGTATTTAGCATCGAAAGGAATCTTGCTTTTTCAAATGCTTGCTTCTGAAACTTATATGTAGACTGGATAAAAAGTTACTCTTATGAAATATTAAGATAATGCCAGCATCTGGGTAAGCAGATCGAAAACACTGTAGAAATTTGTGATGTTCCTAACCTCAAAGCGAGCCCCGGTTTCCCACTTATTAGCCTAGAGTTAAAAGGTAGTTAGATATCAGATTAGATACTTAGAAGCTTAGATTACAGAAACGCCATTAAAAAATAAAAAAAAAAAAGGAATTGTACAACTTCTGGAAATTGTTGTTAAAATGAGGTGATTTCAGAAAATTATGCCCAATCCATATCTTCAAATATACCAGTAACATTAATGCCCGTAGTGACTTATACATAATTATTATTAACCATTTTGCAGAAGTTTACAAACAAAACCCCCATAATCACTTAAATAAGGAAATTGCTTTTCAAGTGTCATGTTGATTGGGTACGGACAATTTATTAGTAAATGTTGTAAGATCAATACCTTTTTAGTGGGTTTCGTTTGTGGCGTGTTCAGAATCCATCTCCTGTTTTCACGTACGCTTCAAGTATAAACATGCTAGTTGGTAAGGGAACATATAAATTTGCAAGATATTTTAGAAAGGTTTAATAACCTTAATAAGCCTCAGGTGGGCATCAATCTCGACCCCAGTGTTTCTGGCTGGGTGCCCTACAACTTGTTCCACCATGCAGCAGGAATATGAAATATTAATGGTTAAAGGCATCCCTATTTCTGCCTTGAAACTGGAGCATAAATCAGAGAAATTAAGGTTCCTACAGCATTTGCAAACATAGTCCCCAAAACTTGATAACTTCTAAAGAATACTAAATGCATTTTGTACAAACGCGTGATTATTCCATCAACAAACAACAAAATGCTCACTAAATGCGCTTGTTCATTTCCGGAGTAGTCTCTATGGGCTTAAAAAAGTGTAACTCCAAATAGGAGGGTCAATTTTATTTATCTGCAGTCATTGTTTGTTTTCGCCATAGACTTTTTAGGAACTCAACAGCTCAACGGGCAAAAAAAATTGCCCGAACTAGACGCGTTAGCAGTCTATTAGCTTAAGATTTTTGAATAATTTTATTATTATTGAAAAGAAGTTTTTAAGATTGCTTTGAAGTTTTTTATTTTACAATACTTCCAACCTTCTTCCACTCGACGTCTTGTTATTAAAGCGTTTGTTTTTTCTAGATCTGCCACAACAAGAACGGCGAAATCAACCCTGCGAAAATCAAGGCGTTAGTTGAAGGTTACGTCAAGAAGTTCCGACATTCAAGCCGAAAACACAAGCAAGCGCCTACACAAACGTCGCAGAATAATACTGCGTCAGCGGGAGCTACTGGTAATAGCTAGGAGTGACTGCCAATAACGAGAATTCGGGACAACAGGAAAAGGATCCAATGGATTTGCATTCTGGGTGTATATATGGGAACAGAGATACGACAATTTGTTTTGGGCTAATAGTTATAGAAACGGACTTTTTTTGTACTATAACTTTGTTCATTGCCTGTACCACTGATTCCTATTTTTCTCCCCCTCACAATTTTTCTGTGGCTAGAAGATTCTGTTTAAAACAAAATGTAGTCACATTAAGCTTCTTCAGTATCGCGCGAAGTTTTGGGTGGCGACTCCAGCTGATTTACCAAATTATAAGAAGAATATACTGTATATAGGATGTATACATGTGGACAGATGATATATAAATATGCGTATACAAAACAAATTAGTAGATTGGATGGACTACTAAGCAAAAGTAACATTGAAAAATAATGATGTTGAAACGTTAATGGAAAGTCAACGATTGTGATGATGACGATGAACAGCAAGTAAAGTCGGAAGTTAAAGATAGAACTTCCTTGGTAATAGTACACAATGAATTATACAGAATACGAGCACTACAGGAGCTAATAACACAATTGTTATTGTCACACTCATCACCATACCTCCGTCACCATTTCCACCGAGCAATGAGGTTAAGATACACAGCGAATAACCTAAACAGAACAACTGCTAAATGTAAAGACAAGAAAGCCATCGAGTCTCAGCTGTACTTCTAAATTATTAGTATGTACAGCTAAGCGGTGGCTTATGGCGATGAGGATTGTGTCAGGATAATTATTTCGTTAAATTAATAACAATCCCAAGCCTAGCATGCAACAACGTTGTCGAAACAGAGGGGTTTCAACCTTATTCTAAAGATATTCGCGTATCAATGAACTGATTGGATGAGACCTCACGATCGACTTCGTTAACGTCGATTGTGGTTGATGCGGATGACGACAATTATAGCGATGGTAAAAACGTGACATGTAGAGACAACGTAGAGTTGAGTAAGTATTGAACTAATAATAACAATGATAACACTATCATAAGTAGAGAACGCACTTACGTCGTCGCCGTACGGGAGAGAAAACGCTTGAGCGAGCCTTCGGCAAAATATTTACGTGACAAAGCCGCAAAAAGTAAATAAATCAATACATTTCTATTTTGTGGTGAAACACACTATTGCTGATGAACCAATATATATTGCTACGCTGAAGATTGCTACAGCAGCGGCTTATATTTATCTCGCTCGTTGATAGATTTTCTCTCTCTGTTATTTTCAACTTTTCCGACCTTTTGTGTGATTCCAAATGCTGTATGATCGTAGGTATTCGTGGCTGCCATTGTTCACAGAATTTCGTAGGAATCAAACAATTAGTTTCCTTCTGTAAAAACAAATTATTGAAGTTTTCATTAAATTCATTTTTTTTTAAATTCTATTCACTTCGTAATAGTAGGCTGAATTATTGTTTCTTTTTGTTTCGTGCGTTTTATTGCATAATGACGGTGGAATGAATCCAATGGAATGCCGAGCGACAACCGAATTTATCCAGCCGCCCTGCAAAGCATGATGCCAACTGTTAAAATATGTGACAACGTGGCAATCCTATTCATTTATATTTACAGTTAAGACATACAATTTGTGTGCTTGCTGTGGTGGATCGGTTCTAAGGTGATCGAAAGGGGATGGTACCATATTTGATATCTTTTTTTTTTGTCTTTGAAGATTGAACCACAAGAATACTATGGATTCAAAGTTTTGATAAACAAAAACTAAAAATGCAGCCCCTGGCTTAGACCAGCATTTTATGCTCTTGCTATTTTTATGGTGATCGGAAGCCACGAACCCTCAACTGTCTGTAAATAATTTATGAAGATAAGTACCCAAAATAACATTAAATCTAAATTTAAAGAAATACAGCCGGCGTGCTTTTGTTCAGCATTTACTATTATGATACAAATTGTCAGTGGATATAAAGTAATAAGATGTATTAAGTAGGATAGACGTAGTGACAATAAAAGTATTTCACGTTGTATCCGCGTGCAGATATTTAGTTATTTGAAATAAAAGTCGAATCATTCTTTCATAGAAGTCATATCCGATGTGTTCTAAGGATTTTACTTAAAAAGTTACTGAACTAAATTAACTTATTTAGTATTCAATATAGCAGTAGATATTCCACGAAAGAAGGTAGACCTGATCCAAAAACACGCCGTGGCAAGCCCTGCGCCCCGTTCCATAGATACCTTACGACAAGCTAATGGAAAAACAGTAATGAGAATCGCAGCCGCGGCGAAAAAATTGAAATCCGTTAGATGAGACACCAGAAAGCTGAACGAATGCGTTGTCGATTAAAACAAATACTGAGGGTGGCACGCAATGGTAAAGAATCGCAGAAAATTCATAATGAGTGCAAATAAATTGCAGTAAACGCTCAAGAGGCCATACGAGGAAGCAAGTGGTGAAATGCAACACGCTTCAATGGCGGCAGGAAATTTGGCCGCAGTGTTTTTAATTGTTGGTTTCCTAACCAACTCGGTTGCCGGACACACCGTTCATTTGCAAAATTGTTTACGTAACGTCGAGACAAAACAATTTTGTTTGGATGAATTTCCCTGCTGCAAGTGCCCTTTACAGTTCCCTGTTGATAATAGTACTCAACTGCAAATAATCAAGAACTCTCTTATTTTAAATAGTGCCTTTCATCGCTGTAATAAGAATGAAAGCAGGCGGTATCCGCAAAGTAAGCTATATTGTTTTAACGATTGAGGGGTTATTTTTAATTCATAAAGAAATCAGATTTTTTTACTGTGGTAAAAAATGAAGGACATAAACGCAACTTTAAGAAAAATGTAATGAAATTTGTGTAAAAAGGTAATTACTGACGATAGGATGATTTCACCTTTTCGCCCAAAGATTATCGCTATAGAAAGAGTATTCCAGGGAAGTTGCGCAGTTTCCACCGATCTTCCCTGCATATATTACACATTTTATAGTAACAATTTTTACATTTGTGTTTGTTAAAGTTCATCGTTTATTAAGACCTATAAAAATCGTTAATTAGGCCATTAGAAACCATTAAAATGGATTTGTGCCATAATTAGTAGTATAATTAGTGCTTTACAGCGAATTAACCGTTACTTAGCTGGATAGTAAATATGTGGACTGAGCTGTTTTATGTTTAACTAACAATAATTTTGATAATCAAACTATCGTGGTGTATCGGGTGAGATATCATGTCCTGGACACTGCAGAGAAGAAGCCAAAAATGTATGCAATTAACCCCAGATAAGACTTAACAAAATGCTTTATTAAAAAAAAAATTAAAAGTTATTAAAGGAGCAGCAATTTTAGTGAATGCAGAGCGATACGGAGAAACGCATTCGATTACTTCAATATGCTTGGTACTTTCGAAGAAAATGCAGCATTATAGTATTATCAGACTCACAATTGTCGATGCAAACTGGATTCGCTAGTGTAAAACATCTATTTAATACACGACTTGCTTCAAAACAGTAAGCGATGGAAGTTCATCTGCTTCGGACTTCGACTAGAGATATTGTACCTATCATTATATGGAATGTTTATATGGAACGCTTGGTGTGATTTTAATGGATTAGGTTAAAAATTTTGAGTTTTACATCCGAAATTTTTATAACATATGTTTGGCTTTTAGCACTTAATAAACACGTGTACTCTAAGAGATTTGCGCCCGATCTTCTCGTTCGTAGAACCGATTATTATGCTGGCCCACTTCTCTCCTACTAAGCTGCGCTGTTTGAACAATCAAGGCGCAAAGTTACTGAAACAACCATAACAATAACGGATCTACAATTTTTCTTCCTGACGCAGGAAGGAGGACTAAGGTTAACTATACGAAGACAATGTTCTATTTTCAAAAGCTACTTTTAACGACCCCTTGCAAGAGAGGTACATTAAGCAAAATTTGTCCTTAAACCCATTTGCTACCGTTCCCGAGGTGATCTTAAGCTTATTTTTGCGTTCCAGGCGCAGTTACAAGCACGTTAAGTTAAAAGGCGCAACTTTTCATCCTATCAATAGAAACAATTTTGGTTGTACGGATACGTCGAGATTTGCGAAAATATAGATCGAAACAATAAGATTACCGATTCAATAATTTAGTTTTCAGAAATTTGTATCACTTAATTTATAGATTTATCATTGTATGTACTCTTAATGAAAGGAATATATATGATATAAATATGATAGCCAAAAAAAGAAACAAGAATACTGCAGCATCATCCTAACGACTACCCAAAATATTTTGACAAAATAAAAGCTAAGCTGAACTTGAAATTGAATTTTAAGTTTGGAAACATTTTGCAAACATATGCTTATGTATCCCAAATTATTTCTTTTCGGTTCTTTAAAGAATCGTAGTTTTATAATGCATAAACACAAAAAAAGCGTTTTGTTTTGCTTATATCAAAACATCATCATTTTGATTAGTGACTAACCATAGCACATCAAGTATAATAATCCTTTATTAGTTCGAACCTGTATGAGTAATTTTGTCGATTTTCACACAAATATGTGATGTATATTTTCAGTAGTATTTGCCTCTTATCCATTACATTCCACAGTAAGTTCAAATTACCTGGGTTTGTTGAACACAACATCCACTTGTACGCCGGAACAACTGTCTTGTGTTTACACTCAGCGACCTCTTTTATATATATATATATATATATATATATATATATATATATATATATATGAAAAGAGTATTTACAAATGAAGGTATCGTAATTCACCATAGGTCCACTCGTTTGTGTACTGCACTCATCTATGGACCAAATTCATTTCGCGATGTTTACGATTATTCACGACTGGAAAGGGACACAGGCAAAAAACAGAAGCTCTTCTTTTTTTTTTTGCTGTACGTATGCTTACGTACTAACCACATTTAGGTTATAAAGGCGCGCTAGCATTCGAGACACAAGAGGTGCATGGAGTGTGATATGATGTTAGAATTTTGCTTATATCTGCTGATCGACAAATCGGAGCGCTTTTTTTTAAAACTAGAATCCACGTCAGTTCAAGAAACTGAATTAAAATCGGGTAATACACCTGCGTATGTAGTATTACCAAGTTAATCAATAACGCCTTAAACTGAATGTGACCTGAACTATTCTATGGCTCATCCCTACATCATCTTTAAAATGCCCTTTTACGCGGTGGTATCTGTGACATGTTCTCTATTGCAAATAAGAACAATAATTCAATCAACGAAGCAATAATAACAAGTTCGAAAAATCTGCAAACTGTTAGCGTAAGTGTCATGGGAAAAAATGAGAGAACTTAAAAAAGCTCAACGCAACGATCATTTACGGAACAATAGAACCTTGTTACAAGCGACAGCCAAAATTTTGTTATATCTCACCCTAACACCCGATATTACAAAACGATCTTGAACCACAAAGCCTACTTCTTTAACTAAATAGTTTATTTGTGGTTGGTAACTAGTTTTGGTTAAAAGGTATGATTTAAAACTGCCTGTAATGCGCACCCACTAATTGAACGAACTCGTACTAATTTAGTTCCCTAAAATATAGTCAAAACAAGGCACCCAATTAAACTGAGAGAAGCCTCTGCCATTCCTATCATATAACACAAAAAGAAACTGTCTCAAAAAATGCAGCCAGACAAGTTGGTTAGATTCTGGACCACCAAAACATTTTGAAAAGTTACACACACACAAATATACTGTCATCTAATATGATTCTCCATTTTTTCTTTCAGTCTGCGCGAAGTCCTAATGCGTTCATTTGCATTACCTAGTTCCATCTTTCAATAAGAAGTTCCAAACCTCAGTCGTTCTCCGCTTCTGTATCACCTAAAGAATTCCTATGGATGTCATACATTTAGTGGATTCTCCTTCGTTCGGTTACTACTTATCCGGCTCATCCATTGTAATGTCATGCCCAGCAATGATCGAATCGAGCAGCTTGTAGTTTTCAACTTGATCCCACTTTAGACTACCCACACCGACCTTAGAGCTGTCATCATCTTTCGAGTCCTCTTCATCTTTAATGGAAAGTAGCACAGGGCTATTTTCACGACCCCCCGCTGCTGAAAGGTAAAATTAACCAAAAACACATGCTGTAACAGCATAGCATAATTGTTTCAAGTAACTGATAAAAAAAACATTCTAACTTATGTTTATTCTTTAGTTTGAGAAGAAATTGCTTAGCGCTAATACTCCAGTGTCGCACAAAGGCTGATTTGAAATAACAGGTTAAAATGTAAGCAACGACGGCTTTATTTTATATGTTCGCTTTTACTTTTCTATTATTTATTTGCTCCTAAACACCATTCAAGAGTGCTCTTTTTCCCCAAACCCGCGTTGTTATTTTGTTGTGCGGTGAAGAAACTTTCATTTTGAGCATTTCAAGCATCAGAGACGAATATTCCTGGTAAAAAATCCGAATACGAATGTTCATGATGTTGCATTTTTGGCGCTACTTTAATTACCTTATTATTATCGTATTATTATCTTCTCGTTGTCAAAAGGCACTGAAATAAAGCGGGATATTTTCTGTCCATGGTGTAGACTCTCTACCTAAAGAGACTGTTTAATTGTAATTTGCGAGTATCAATAATAGCATTTTAACTGGAGCATGCACCTTATCTTGATCGGTCATCTGAGGTTGATTGGGACCGTCTGAGAGTATTTTTAGGCAAACAACTCGTTAATTCGCCGAAAAAAAATGAAGAGACAGTCATATACAGATAGGCAGGATTCTAGAATTTATGGAATTCGTTAAATAATTACAGGTCTGGGTGCCTTAGTGATGAACATAAGAAAACAACATCTTTCTCATCACTTGGCAACTCGCAGCCAGAATTTCGGGCTTCTACACAGATGTTACGAGATGAAGCTGAGAGGTGAAAGAATAGCTTTGGGAAACATAAGTAAACCTAGAGCTGAGCAAGATCTCTATTACGAAAAGGAAACGCGATCGCGTTTGGTAGGCCTGGAAGCATCTCACACACTGAAGAGTAACACGGTCTACAAGGGTCTGTGTATAGCCCAAATGTATTGAGTGATCGATCCAAAAGAACAGTCTCGATAGACATAGCAAAGCCATCCTCATTCATGACATACTAAAGCGCAGCGACGGATTTCTACAAAGAACTATGATGTTAGGAAGTGGAAACTTACAGGTGTTAAGAAGTGGTGTTTCTACGTTCATATGAAAGAGTGAAAGGAGTGGGTAGGTCCAAGAAGCACGGACACATCAGTATTAAGCCAGGCGTTACATTGAAAAAGTCTTTCAAACCGCCTTATTAAGAGTTTGGCTGTCTCTGAATTCTTATTTGCATCCACCACAATCTAAATTTTGCGTCGACAAAAATTTGGACAATACATTTGACAGTGGAGAGGGTCTGCAAAACTAGACGACTTCTGCAGCATCAGACCGAAAATGTGTCGTGAGACGAAATAAATTCAGTGAGAATAAATAATAAGTAAATAAGAAAATATCGTACAGATTGACAACCGATACATAATAAATTGTTGCTAGAATTCCAGATAAAAGTTGTGCTTTCTGTTAGCTGAAAATTATGTTATTTCTTTTGTTTTAACCTCATATATTTTCCATAGATATATGAGATGGTCAAATGAAAAAGTAAAACGGTTATAAAGATTGGTGAGTCTTGTTGAAAACCAAACCCTGAACCTCATGCTCATATGTATCTACCTACCCTGTCACCGCGGCATCACACAAGAGTTGTTCTACTGTCAAACTGGTGGAAGAACATAGAAACAATATATTTTAAGGGACTATATCTTACGACACCAGTTATCTAATTTAATGCATGAGGCATAAGGAAATGAACAAAAGTATATTTGATGATAAGTTCTCGCGCTGATCTCAACCTATGTGCGCCTGCTGCACAATACTTACCGGGTAGGTCCTCGAAGAGGTTCATATTTGCTGTGCTTTCAACTGGGCCTCCAGAAGGTGCAGTAAAGCAATTCAAATCTCCGTACTCTTCAAGGTGGCCTGAGTCCGCAAGGGGGACTCCTAAACCGCTTGAAAGTGTTCCTCCGGTGAAACTAAAGACAGCATCGTCGGGAGCCGCCAGTTTATTGAATACCGCTACATTAGATACGACGCCTCCTGAGGAACTTCCAACGCCTTTTACCCCGACCACAGACGACATCGTGAAATCTGTGGTTTTATCAGAAGTCAACAAAGAAAATTTTGTTATTTTTGGTATTTATGCTCTCCTGGTTTTTGTAAATTCTTATCTTATATAGTACCAGATGTGGACCAATAGGCGTGCTGTTTCAGAAAAACCATTTTATCTCTTGTAGTGTATAGTAGTTTTAATTATGGAATGTCTAGCTTACTCTTGCGTTATTCAAAAGTTTTACTCTATCTTTTGTATAATACTCTACTTAGACTGGGATCATCATCCTTGAGATGTTTAGAGCTTCCATTGGCGAGATCCATATCTTCCTCATCACCTAGGCTTACGCCCACGTTGACGATTTGGCTCTTCCCGGTGCCTGGGGCAGCTACGTTCAAGGTGATTTTATGTCCGCTGTTGCGTGTCCACACCTTGTACATTTGGCTAACAATCGAGTACATGTTATTGAAGTCGCTTTGTGTACTCACGGCCGCCAGAGTCGCTAATGCGTTAGTCACCTCTTTCATTTTATTTAACTGAAAAAATTGACACATAGAGAATGCATGCACAATATATTGTGTAGTTAATGATATTTGCCGTAGCGAAACCTGTTGTAGGCAAATCATTACTTTTATAGCAATAATTTTGTATACTTTTCAACTAGAGCGTATTTAAGCATAATATATATAATTGTGTATATATACATATAATACATACACGTATATATATATATATATATATATAATTTAAATGTATTGTATATATCAGTATTATTTGGAAGTTTATATATATATATATATAAACTTCCAAATCCACAAAACAAATAATACTGATATATACAATACATTTAAATTTTCACAAAAATCATTTTCTGCCCTGTGTAAGTATATGAATAGATGAAGAAGAATATGCCTATATATATATATATATATATATATATATATATATGAAGGTGGAACTAATCACGTTCACATGCCTAAAATATAAAATATTATAATACCGGCAAAAACATCAGTTTTTTTTTTTAATTTTTTTAAATTTTACAATATAACTTTTTCTCACACGTTAAGCGCTATCGCTAATGTTTTAGTTAAATTTTGCTATGAAACATTTCGTTCTTCGGCGCGGGTCGTTACGCAACGTAGTAAGTCGCAAGACTGCGTTTTCTATCAAATTTTGCTTATTAGACTAAATTATTAGGCTAACTAGTTAATTTCAAAAACACACCTCCCAAAAAATTATCTCGTTGACTGAAAAGGGACACCTTTTAATAGACACAAGCTAGTTTTATAACTCCTTATTTTTTATTTAAAGTAAAATGGAATAGTTGAGATACTCAATAGCCGAGGATCAGGAAGGGGTATCTGTACTGATTTAGATTTACATTAAAATATTCTTTGCGGATTTATTTCCTTGTTGTTATTAACAATCCGAGCTGAATCTATGAAATTAAGAGAGTCGGATTGCCAAAAGAATATCGTCACGGATGATGTACCGAATTTTCATAAAAAAACGGTCATAGGCAGGCAAATAAAGAAAATAATGAAATAATTTGTTACGCTATGTTATATAATATATAAATATTATTTATTGCTGTATGATAATAGATAAACGATTGCTCCCGACGTCATTCTAAAAAAGTACAAGTAAAAAAAATATATCGTCAAACAACGAGCATTTTGTAACTCTAATACTAAAGCATATTTGATAAAAATTTCCAGCTTTCACCTGCAAACAAGGTAATCAGAATCATGTTTGCTTAGCACTCTAACAGGAATATCATTTATAAAATATGCAAGTAAATGCTTATAAATTAAGCAAGTACACGAAATAAGTGCTTTCTTAGGGTTATGCTGAGTTATGCTGTAAGATAAAATATGATTCAAAAAACCCCATCATGACCTAGCATAAAGCGTATCTTCGTCTAATGGGAGGCGATTAGATGATATAGATTATAGGATAAAGGCAACTACAAATGTCATATTTCCACATAACCTCCTGCCGATTGTCCGCATATTTGACAAAGCATAATCTTTCCATTTACCAGCGTTTATCGAATGATGCACTATTCCTTATTTTGGGTCATCTTTGCCCAATGTTTTCGTAAGTTTATACATAATTTTTTAGGGAACACTTAACCATGTTTTTCCTAAAAAATTGAACATTTTTAAATTCAACATTAACAGAATAGCTAACAGTTTAACGTTTATTGAGACTAGATGGTGATTTAGATATATGTATATATGTATGTAAATTGCTAATTATTTGCGCACCTGGCACCTCTCAGCAGCAATCTGTACCAACTTTTCCCTCTTCAGAAATAACAACACCATGTAACGAAAATTATCATTTTGAATCCGTGTATTCTTTTGATGATAATTCTTCAAACGTGAACATTAAATGCGTATTATGTGGCTATATTAAAACAGTTTACCACTCGCTTATAAATCATCTAACGAAAATATTCCACAGGTTTCGTTTAAGTAGGATAGTATCAAACTATCGTAACTTAACAATTTAATTCTGTATGGTATGCTAAACAGCATAATTTAATGACAAAATAAATTTTTGGGTAACGAACCTTTCACATGAGCGAAATCCTTAATGCGACTGAAAAAAGCTCAACAGACAACATGGCACAAAACTGCAATTTTCGTTCTCATCTTATCGACCACCACTAGATAAATTAGTATAAAAATAAAGCTAATTAAAGATATCAAAAATACCACAATTTCAATAAAGGAAGCGAGTCCCTTGTGCGGCTGTTTATGTGATATAGTATAAAACCTTTTATCTCTTAGAAGAGCGTGTTATAATTAAATTATCGTTTGACTGCTTAAGTATTTTTCTACGACGTAATTTCTGGTAGCGTTCTACATTCATTTTAACGTGCATCGATGACTCTTCGTGATAGTTACTCTACCCAGCATTTATTAGCATTTTACAGTTTTATTACATATTACAATGTTAGCAATAATTTATATTTTCTCAAGTCATTCAGGTTATTGATTTTAAACAAAAATATCAATCTAATATTTAATATAGTTAATTATGTAGTAGCGAGTTAGCGTGCAGTTCTACTTAAAAAAGCTAATGGCTTGAAGGAATCTGTGAGTACTGAGTATCGTTTTTATTTTGATTATGTCTGTTTGATGAAATCATGGACATCAATCGCTGATGTAGCACACGTTTACTTCCATATGTTGTTAAAAAGTTGGAGGTTTCAAACGATTCGAAATACAAATTTTAACTAAAAATATATCAATAGCCGTTGAATATGCAAGGCCCAAACTCAAAACGTGCAAGAAGATAACCTTCACTAAATTTAGCCTAATATATAAAAATACTGAAACATGATTTGTATACGATGCAACACTTGGTTCTAGCTCACGATCATCGTTATTGTAAGTTTCGATAGCATAATTCGAACAGACTTACCTTATCGCTATACTTCATCTCACTGGCAGGCAATTCGGCAGTGAGATCTGCTGGGAGAACATCAACAGGAAATGGGTCCGTCCGGCGCCATTTGTCGACAACTAAGGAATCTTGCATTGGGATTCCATGAGCAATAGCGACCACGAACGCATGACTACAGGGCAATTGGTATGACCGATAAAATGAGCAGGAACAAGCGAAACCTCGTCCAGGCTGCACTGAGCCTTTTCCAGCAACTGACGAGACAAGATACGTCGATTCGCTTGATGTTTGAGTCACCGAAAACTTGTAAGTTCTGCTCAACAGAAAAACAGTAAGATTATTTAGTTAAGGGTTTTTTTTTATTAACTAATTAATTAAGGTTTATCAGCCGAATGGTCCGATTTTTAGATGCAATGGGTAAAAAAAACTCAGCAACCCGAGTTTTTTAATTTCAAGCCCATACCATTTTCAAAAATATTAAAGATGTATAATGTTTTTCCATAAACTGTCTTTACATTGTTACAAAGATGTAGCTTGTTGCATATAAGTTGCGCATTTCCTACATCTCTACTAAACGTGCGATTGATAAGTAAAACATACGTTGTTTAGGACTTTTTAAATTAACCTATAAAACGAACAATTAGTCTTAATAATAAAGAAATCACCACAAATAGATCTATCAGGTGCATTGTTACTAACGTAACCTGGAGCACGGCGCACCATCTTAAAGGACGCCGCATCACAAGTTTTTTAAGTAATCGAGTGTATAGCAGACTATCGTGTATATAAACAAACTGTATTGCAACTCGAGCAACTAGTTGCTGTAGCACGGTCACGTTGCTCGTTTTGTATAATTTAATTTTTTCGAACTTGTGGGCGATAATTTACGCATAAATTATAGGATCACACGTGGCATCAGCAGCTTCGCAAGCGTTTTGCTAGTGTTAACAGGTAAAAGAAGCGTTTGCATATTGATTTTACTTTTTAAATATTTTAGTTAAAATAAGCAGTTAGAGCAATAACTATTTACGTTTACACAAACTATGTGAATTAGCCAAACGTAGCTCGTGTATTGTCAATGCTGCATTTACTGGGCTTTCAATTTTTAGCTCTTCCGTAGAAGGCAGGATAGGATTGATAGTGTGCAAATGAAGTCTACGGAAAAACGGTTTTATACTTTTCCTACTCCATGCTGAAAAAAACATTTGTGACGGTCTTCGATATCACAAATGGCGTAGGTCACATTTCGTAAAACGTTAACCACCTTAGGTCTTTAAAGAACGAAACAATCAGCGCTACGAACTACAAAGGTGTCAATATGTATGCCCTTAGTTCGCAAGCCTGACCACTCCAAACGTACTGGCGTTTTGTTTAGTATGTAAAACATGTGTAGTAATGTAACCAATATATTTGCCATTCTGAAGTTCTGAATAGATGGTATATTTAAAAATTAATAATTTTTTTGTCTTTGTACCTCATGCATTGTAATGGTGTTTTGCTGTAATGGTACTTTTGGCCTTCCCTTTTCACAAAAATTCGTAGCAATTATGTTAATACTTTAAACAAAATGGAGAATATAAGTAAAAAATGTAAGCTCATTCATTTTGTTACATGGTGTACCAGGAGAGCTAGAAGCCAACATGAAACTCAGAGTTCCCGAAGAGAATTTGCGCCACATAGGAAGAGTGCTTAACGATTCCCAGCGACCATTGAAAGAACGCTTTAGGGCCCTCTTCACCCTCAAAAATCTAGGTAAAGAACATGTGTTCGTATCTGTATTACTAGACATATGTTTGAATTAAAAATTCCTGCTTAAAAAGCATAGTTATGCATTAGGAACAGTTGAAATGGCTTTGAGAAAATGTCACGGGGTGTTTAAGATACGACGGTAGAGAGATAAGACAGAATAGTTACTGCTTTGAAATTTGAAACTTCTTTAAGAAATATGTATGTACATCGTGCAACCTTGCTCACATAGCTCCATTTGTGGTTACCGAAATCAATGTGGAATCAATATAAAATGACACATGAAAACAAATTAAACGAAACCCGAACAGTTTTGCAGGGTTTTAAACGCTAGTGATTTGTGTAGATTTTTTGTCCTCCTCTGTTTGTATCATTTTCGAGAAGAAGGTGGAGTCTCATATATCGGCGAAGGATTTAAGGATAAATCAGCGTTACTACTTCATGAACTTGCATACTGTTTGGGTCAAACACAAGATCCTTCAGCGATTCCTGTGCTCATCAGGGTACTCGAAGACCAGGGGATGGAACCCATAGTGAGGCATGAGGCTGGCGAAGCACTCGGCGCTCTCGGATGCCAGAAGGTTAGTACTAAAAGAGCAAAACCTAATGCGTTTCGACTTCTTTTTTTTACTACTTGATGCATCTTTAAAAGTTTCTAAAGCATCTAACAGCATGAACAATCTCCCGTATTGCAATGCTTCCCACAGGGTGTGCCCGTTCTGCTGAAATACGAAAATGACCCAAACCCAGTAATCGCAGAGACGTGCCAGCTGGCTCTGAAAAGGCTCCAGTTTGTAGAGACCGAAGAATATGTGGCTCTTCAGGATGAACTAAAGCTGCTGCCCTACAAGTCAATAGACCCGGCACCACCTTTTCGCAAAAATTCTTTAAGTGTGGGGGAACTTAAAAATATTTTGCTTGATAGCAAGCAATCACTTTGGAGCAGGTATTTTAAAATGTGACAATGTGTATGGATTAATAGCATTTTTGTGGGAAAGAATGCTCAATTTCCAAAAAATGTACGATAGGTTGTATGAGGCATTCAAAAATTACGCAACTGTAACGGAACTGCAAATTTTCGGCTCAGCTTCTCATAGACATCGCATGGGAGTGCTAAAAATAACGGCTTTATTAAGTATTGTTGGATTGCGTCTCTACAGTGTGTCTTTAAAGCATATTGCTAAACTTCTTCAACACCTTACCATTGCGTAACTTTTCGAATAGCCTGTAATAAGCCAGATTATCTTATCTGCTCTGTACATAGCTACTCAGTAATACAGAAACTTATCACAACAATGGCAGACGTGCTGAATACGTATCTTTTCTTTCCAGATATCGAACGATGTTCTCTTTGCGTAATCTTGGGACCCCAGATGCAATATGTATACTAGGAGAAGCTCTTTTTTGCCCTTCTAGCGCGCTACTTCGCCATGAAGTTGCATACGTGTTTGGCCAGATGCAAAACAAAGGTTCAATCCCATTCCTTCAACGTTGTTTAGAGAACACTCGTGAACTGGCAATGGTACGTCACGAGTGTGCTGAAGCTCTGGGTAGCATTGCTTCCGAGACATGCTTGGCTATATTGCAGCGATTTCTAGACGATCCTGAAGACGTCGTCCGTGAAAGCTGCGAAGTAGCACTAGATATGTGCGAGTACGAAAATTCAACGGAGTTTCAATATGCCGACACTTTAGCTAAACGGCAAAACTAAAATATCGTAATGGTACGTTACGTAGAGAAGTTCTTATTGACAAGATATTTTTGGACATCGAAGTCGAAGATTACGCTCCTGTAGAATATGAAACACAAATACTTGGGGACTGATTCGAAATTACTTAGTGGTAATTTTTCTCCGAACTTGAATAGTTATATCCTATGAAGGAAAGTAACAAGTTATCAATAGCACGCCACGTAAGACAGTTCGCTGGACCATGATATCAAATATCCTCGGGAAAAAGTTAATAGAAAAATAGTTAATAATAAATCATGCAGTCACTTTTTGACTTTTCGTTAAATGATTAAATTTGATAATGTGATGTCTAACGTACTATGCATATAGTTCTTCTATAGCCTCTATTACAATCACGCATTTTCAGGTACCCCGTTACGATTATTCCACTACTGTTATTTCCACTATTATGTCAGAGATTTATTATTGCACCAACACGAGAAGTGGAAATTCCTTAGTGGAGCTTTTAGTACTGGGAAGTACGAAGAACCATTCTGTTGGCCACTTGTTCACACTTGTGCACACATAGTGCTTTGCAAGAATCAGTGTTTCTATTAAGAACCTTCATTCGGTCGTGTTTATTTTCTCTCCATCGTTAGAATTTTTAATTGATTAGGTGTACAACCAAAAGTTTTCCTTATGGCAGACTGATATATTTTGAATAGTTTTCGCGATTTTATTGTCTTGCGTCCTCTTGTCAAAATAGTATTGTGTCGTAAGTGCAATTTCAAAAGCTCCTTACATTCAAGGGTATTCAAGTATATTTTCGATACCGTACTGTGCACTTCGTCGAAAGCAGCTCGGAACATCTGTGCACTGTAACGACGCTGCCGGGGACAGGACAAGTAAAGTTTGAAACCGATGTTTGGAACCTAGAGGATGCCTTCTACTTTTGCTGATCGTTTGTAAACTTAAGCTTGCATATCTCTTTCGGAGATGAAGAAGGAATATAATAATCCAAAAAAAGAACTATGGCTTAAAGCTGCATCTCACTCAGTATCGTCCGCTTTTAATGACAGATTTTTTCACAAAATCGGCACTGTGTTTGTGTGTGCCATCAAAATGGTGGTTCAGAGTAAAAGCTAAGACCCAGGGTCTAACAAAATCTTTACCCAGAAAAGATTAACTTCAGTGGGAACATGGAGGTCTGATTCATTGTAAATTGCTTCCTACGAACCTTGCCACGTTTATTCGGTCCGAGTCAATGAAGCTGTTCAAGAATGAAAACCCGACAAGCTAGATCAAATCATTCTACTATACGACAAAAATGTGGCACAAAGATCTAGATCAGCTGGTTGTTGAACATATTTGCTTTGTGGATATCGCAAGAGCTCGCAATATGTCAATAAGGGTGATAAACCTTTCGGGAATAGTGCGGTTGGATGAGGAGCTAACGCCAAATACAACGTAGAAATTCCCAACACCACCCACGTTTAGTCGACAAGACAGCGAAAACCTTGAGAAAACACAAACTGGGAAACACACACTACATAAAAGACGACGGAATCGTCCTATTAGTCCTATTGGTCGCTCATTAGTCGATAAGTTACGACCTCCAACGATTTATAAGAAACAGCCAGCTTCGAGCAAACCGCGAACGGTCAAATGCAGTTCGTTACTGATCGTTCGCGGATAGTTATTAATGAATGAAGTGGTTTCCAGATTTACTCTGGTTAGGTGTAGTGATTAAATATGCTGATAATACAGTGTCGTAGTGATTAAAATGATTGCAAACTCACTTCCAAATTTCAAGACCGTGCTACGGATAATTTTCGTCATATCAGAAATAAAAAGAAATGTGCTCAAAAACATGGCACGGAACGCATTCATTACAGCAAATTATCATACAGGATTACTGCTATTTAGTTTTGGAGGAGACCCTAAAACTCCTTTATTCCAAATCGCAAGCTCGAGCATGTTTCAGCTTTTCACATTTTCTCAAATGTGAGATAAAAGCCACCAAACCATAATAACGTCTATGCGAACGTGTTTCATCGTACATACCAAACTACTTCGCTACTTGCCAACAATTTCACAGTTCTCAGAGCAATTCGATTCAGCTGATTGCTTGGCTTGCTTATTTAAAGCTTTGTTGTTTTGTATATTTGACTTTACTAAATGCTAATTATTCTTTCACAGTTAATGATTATGTCACACAGCCACAACATAAGATCTCTAGGATGTTCGTCAGTTGGCTTTTGCGATTTAGGGTATGTTCTGCGCAAAGAATAAAAATAAGATGCAGGTGGGATTATTAGATGACGTATTTTTGTGCCATAGATCCGTGTATGTATCATAGTTTAGTGCATCATGTAAAATTATTGCCAGAATAGACACGTTCATCAGCGGACGAATACTTATGTCGGTTCAAGCTAATTATTGCTTTTTAGGAACTATCTTCTTCTTTTTAATCAATCACCTTCGGCTTTACCATTTACGAAAATGTTTTCAGAATAAAAAGGAAACATTTCGATGACACTGTTACACACAAGATCTCTTTGATGACATATATTTAACTTATTTAAATGACATTTTAATTTTTCTTACCGCCAGGGACGTTGCGTTAGTAGATTTTGTGTATGGCTTACTCGTCGGTGGAGCACTATTAGCACGATAACCAAGCGACCCAGAGTTTTTGTGAGTAAGAACTCCAACTTACCAACCTTGGTATACTGTATAATTTCAATTCACTACAATTGAAAACGTAAGGAAATCAAAGAGTCTAAGCATTCTATTGATGTAACCACAACTCTTGAGATTTATCCCTGCGTAGAGATGTTAGCACTCGTTTTGGTAAAGTGTTAGTTTCTTTCACTGGCACGCAAACTTCAGCTCCACTTTTCGGATGCAAAGAAAACTTATATTCTTGTTTCCACTATGTATAGGTTTACGAGAAGGTTACGCAATCCTCTAAAGGAGAGGATTTTAATCGAAATTTGAGAAATAAAACTCATTTTTGCTTTCTTCCTTGTTTTGAATTGAAATCAGTATTAAGGGCTAAACTTAACATGAATTGCACGCTAGGTTATCTTTGAAACATTCGAATGTTAATGGGTTTGCTCGCTTCCATAGGTGAAAGTAGCTTCCTCATCTTTGTATATTACATGCCATTCCTTGATCCGGATACTAGTGAATCACAATAAAATATGAGTGAATTGAAGTATAAAACCACTTTTTCGTCACCTCCTGCGCACTTGCACTACGGGTAAAAGTAAATAAAGTTGGCTTCAACCTCTAGCTTTATCTATATGCTAAGATACACCATTGATTGATGACAAGATATTAATGTTCAGACATATTGCTCGTAACCTTTTTATAGGATCTAAGTATAGAAAATGAAAAGAAGGTCGTTTATTCCAGCAATAGAGCTAATAAAACGCGTTGCTACTCGATCACACGTAATTATTCTGCAAAGTCAGAAAATGGTTTGTTTCATCTAGAAGCCAGCTGGTCATCCTTTTGCTTTTTTAGTTAGGATATTAGAGCATTTCTATACTTTTCCGTCAGTAGTATTCCCGGAGGTATAAAAATCACGTTAAAAAATAAGCCATTTGAATCCTATTTTTGAAATAATCAAGCAGGCAGCGGGAATGTATAGTCCTAAACGAAATGGCTATTCTTTTTGCTGCTCTTAGAAAGTATCTGACTTCGGTGGAGGCATTATCCCGTTTAAGTAAGATTTTTGCGAAGCTGGATGAAAAATATATATCGGCAACGGCTGCCTGCGACAACAACCGTGGCTTGCTCATTCATTATTTTACAATAGTATTTGCTAAAGTCACCAAGGCCAATAACATCCCTTATAGAAATCATAATAAGTGGGTTCCTTGACCTTGCACAGTATTTTTGTATCCGAGATTTAGCAAGTTAATAGGAAAAAGCCTTTCTTTAGTATCATTACGCAGCTTCCGATATTAGTGAAATATCTTAATAGGGATGTTGATGAAACAATAATGAACTAAATAATAAGAGGCTGTAGAGAATTCTAGCAGCTGTAGAGAACTGCAAGCAAGAAGGATATCGTGTGCTTAATCTTCCATACCTGTATAGTATTTCTTCGAAAGGTTCCCAAAATAAGGATTTACAAACTTCACAAGCAAACGCTAAGCGGTCTCTTGCCATTTTTCATATAACGCGTCGATACCTAAAGAAACACAGGATCGAACATAACATACCTTTCTAGAATTGCAACCAATCGCATAGCCATACGGCAGTGAGTGCAACGAAATCTCATTCATTCACTAAAAATAACAGAATTAGCGCTCCAGCAAAAGGACATGGAAACTATTTTCTCTTGTTCTACATGAACAATACTAACCGAAACTCTAGAGGTAACGAACGCGACCTATTTGTATAGTACATTCATCTTATTGATTAAAATATGAGGACACTTCAACGTTGTGTACCCCAGTTGAACTACCCCAGGTACGTCATTAAAATGGAAGTGCATGGTAGAATAAGCACGCTGTCTAGATATACCGTCCACAAATGAACCAGCAACAGCAGTTAGCAGGCGTTCACCATTAACTTCACTATCCGTTCAAACAAACTTTTGTTTTACAGAGATTAACTAAAAGAAGATCAAGTCTATATAAACTATATTCAAAATACTGGCTCATTCTCTGTTATCCCCATTGAAGAATTCTTTGGACGATTAATTTACAATGAAACTCCGCAGAAATCCAGGAAGAAGATCCTGGCTTGCCCAGAAAAACCCGCGTTTTTTTGCGTGCACGAAAGGGACACCAATACCGTCGAATAAATAGTCAGAAGAAACGCAATTAGATATATCCAGCTGCAAGTTTCTTCGCTTTCTGTTGTAAGTCATCGGTCATAGAATGTCATAGCATAGCTGGCTTATTTTAACGGAAGCATGTCACAACTGCATTAGCTCATTTATGATTACCTACAAACCGTTTTGATCTTGGTGAAAACATTTTTCTTGTTTTATCTGAGCTCGGCGGCTCACTACTTTTGGTCTCATTTCGACCATACGTTGTATCACTTTGTGAAGATAACTTTTCTTTTCTTTAGGACATTCTCTTAAATTGTTAACCATAGGTTAGTCTTGATATAATTCAAAAACTTTTCGCATTTATTCACACACGCTAAAATAACTTGCGTGTAAACAGACATGCGTACATCACCTGCAAATGAAATATTGTGGATCTAGAAAAAGAGCGTTTATATTACTGAATGCACTGCAAAGGTTCTTACTAACCTGGATATTCGGACCTGTGTTAGCACATGTAATGCTGCGTAGTCAGAACAAAGAGATATTAGTCTCGCTTCGTGTTCCACCATCTTCATATGATACTCCCGAATATCGCACAAAAGTCTCTCTGTATTTGTTTGTTCAATAATTCCTGTTAAAAAAGAAGGAATTATTCTTGACGTTCCCTGGTCAAAACTGCGGAAATCAATAATTTGAAACGGAAACAAATCCTGCGTGTCGCTCATCAGCACCGTCAGCACACCTTAACAGTAATGTATTTGAAAAATGAGTCTGACCGCGCCACACGCAATATTGCCCATTGCGGCATTACGGTGCTGAGAGGTTTTAGTCTTAACAAAGAAGTCGTAGCACACACTTTGTTGTTCCTGATGACTTGCTGTACTTAAATCAATAAACCACTGTCCAGAAAAACGCCTGACTTACTTAAACGAAATCCTTACCCGTGTATTTTTCTTTATTAAAATTTACTTACCTGTAACCGCATACACTAGGTTACAGAGTGCATCTGAAAGTGTCTGCGACCGTTCGCACACAAGGGACATGAATTGCGACAAGACCTCGACCCGGTCGTTCATTCCGTTTGCGAAAGGCACCATTCCCTCCCGCTAAAGATATTGAACAAAAAAATATAATTAGGAAAATGTTTAGTTCCAGTGCAACTATAGGAAGTATTTTTTTAGTACGGTTTCACAGAGTATCCAGGTTTTTTTTGGTAAAAGTATGTTGAGTGGTTGGAAAAGCATTGACGGTATTTTTAGCTAAATGGTTTTAAAATCTCAAACCTCAGGTAATATGAGCTGCATCAGGTCGGCGTTGGTGTCATTTGAAAGTTGATTTAATTAATTAGAAAAAATAGCAATAGCAAATGTGCTAAAATTGTTACAGCGCATTAATTCAGATTTGAGGTAAAGCGCGCAGGATATGTGTGAAATTTCGCCGAAAAATTGAAATTTATTTAATTATTTATTTATATTCAATTGCAATTTATTTTATTTTTCAACTTTATTACAGGAAACGTACAAATACTGCCCAAATCCGTTTGTACCGTTCCATAGTTAAGTATTGTACTGTTGTATTGTTGTACAGTAAAAAAAAAAATGTACCGTTTGTAGTTAAAATACGTTTCCCGAGGAACTGTTTAAACGTAGTTGTGTCGCTTTCATTCTTGAAAATTCAATGTGAAACATTCTTTTCGTGGCAGTAAGCCAATTACGAAAGAAATAGATGAAAATATAGCGAAACTTGAGTAAAACCGACACACGAGCAGCTATAACATCGCCATGGAACTAAATATTCAGAACAACATAGTTTTAAGCCATTTGAAGAAATCAGGCTACAAAAGGAAGCTCGACATTTGGGTGCCATACGAATTGACGCAATAGATTTCATTCGATCATACACACTGGTCTGCGAAACTCCACAAAAGCGCACTGAAACCGAGCTAGTTTTAAAATGATTGATTACCGCTGATCAAAAATTTATCATATTACAACAATAATGTGCAAAAAAAATCACGATCAAATAAAGGAAAAGCTACATAATTTGTACCAGACCACATTCATCTTTCGCTACCCGGCAACAATTGAAAGAACGTGAATAGGAAATTCTTCTCCATGCCCCATGTAGCCGCAGAAATCTAAAACTATTACAGTAATGGGGTTATAATGTTACCAGAAAATGGCAGAAAGTCATCAGTCAAACAACTTAACAATATTGTTTTGAAATAACAAAATAAAAAATAAATACTTCAAATTTTGCTTAAAAACCGTCAGTACTTTCTCGAGTTCTCAATATTTAGCTATGAAACGGTCTATTGTGCTAATCGTGAAGTCAGTCCTATCACACATAAGACACTTCGAACTATAAATAATAATGAGCGCACAGTAAGCAAGATAAGCTTGACTATGCTATTCAACAGAGGTAGTAAATCTTGACATCAATTAAAGTATTACTAAGAGTGCTTAAGTTCCAGTGTCACAGTAACGAAACGTTACTAGCTCTTTCTTGTCTTACCCTAAATCCAGCCCACATTTCCCTGGTGGGATGCCATTGCGTGTTGAAGTATTTCGCAAAGCGTGGCTCAATTTGATCAAGCTTTTTTAGATGTTCATTGTAATTTTTTTCTTGGAGGCCAGAAAACATCCCTCGAAGTGTTTTGCAAATTTTTTCTTGAATTAGTGGCGGTAACTCCAAGCGTGTCATCTCTTTTAGCATAGAACGCACTACATGAAAATGACAATAAAGTACACACTTTGCCCCTTCGAATAGTGTAGAAAGCGAATTTTTAAGTCGGCGGTGTTGTTCCCTGTCGAGTAATATACAGTGAACGTCACGAGCAGCTGGTTGGTTGTGGCCGATGAACACGGTCAATAAAAGGCCTGTACAGGGACATCGACAAATAAAACATGAATTACTTAAAGTGTAGATCTATAAAATATATTTGCCCTAAAACCACTTTAAACTCAGCCTCCTAAAATTTATATGTCGAGTTGGCAGTGTAGAGGTTTGCGACACTGATGCGAATTGTGTGTAGTCCTATTTACAACAATTTATTATACATAGATAGTTTTGGCTATGTAGTTCAGAATTTTATGACCGCATTACAGTCGCCGTCATTATATGTTACAAAATTAAGTGAATTAAAGTGAATAATTATTTTTGTTCATAATAATCCACATAATAACGATCAACATTTGACAAAAAATGTATTTGACGTCTAGCTAGCAAGTACGAATTATATCTTTCTACCAAATAAGCCTTGAAAACAGCTTTCCGACATAAGAGTTCCTGTTTTCATACTTATAGATTAATGCAATAAGAATGCTAGGATGCGGTTACGAGTAAAACTCGTGACAGAATCACACAAGACACAACATCTAAAAGTTATACTCGCTGTGAATAAATTAACTTACCAGCCATAAGTCGAATTGGTTTCATAAGAATGGCGAAAGCGAAAGGTCCTCCAAGTCCTTGGGCGTCATGTCCCGAGAACGATACTAGTGAAAAATCAGGATTCATGGCAAAGTGATACCCAGCATCAAATAAGAGAATTTCTGGGTAAAGGGCGAACTTCCTTTTCATATGACCAGTCTGGAAAAAAACCGCTACTAACTCAAATGACGTGGTAGATACGATTACAGATGAGCTGCTGTCAGGATCGCACTCGTTTAACTTGTGGAGCTCTTGTATGAGAATATGGACTGGAGCAGGATCACCTCGGAGAGTCAATTTTTCCGGTAATTCAGTTAGCTGCTGAAGCGAAAGCGCCCTGTATCCTTCGGGTGGCCCCGACCCGAGGTCGTCATCTGGCTCCGGCTCTTCCTCTGTACCAACGCTGACTGCGATGTTGCTCCCTAGACCGGACGCAGGTATGGGCGAGGCTTGCGGGTGGCTGATCCCATGGGAGTCATCGACGAGCTCATCTCCATCCAACGCAGCTGTTATATCATGTTCGCCCGTAGCCTCGCCTACACCGCTGAGAACGAAACCCATATTATCTATAATATGTATAATAACACATATATATATATAAATAATACGGCTTTTCATGTTTGCAAAATGTACGTAGTAACCAATACAAGCCCTTTTTGGTATCAATACAGTGCTAAATCGGAACTTACATGCCATTCTAGTCATGACATAACACATTAGGCGTAATTTTTGTATGTACACAATCCGGATGGTACCTGATGTATCAATAGTCAACTGTATTAAATAAGGCATTTAAATATTATGGAACTTACTCAAGAGAATCGTCACCTACGTCATCTTGCGAATGACCTCCCTGTGCTTGCTGCTGAAGGTTAACAGACGTTGAAACTGAAATTGGCGAAACTTGTGGCTGAGGTGTTTCAGTCCGGCTCTGGTTTATCGCATCGACTCCCGAGCCTTGCGATGCTCCTGAAGCCGAACTTTGGGCTCTATCGGCGTGTTCGTGGCTTGGATCCAATTTAAATAAAAGAATACAATCCATCTTCCGTTCGTATTTTACTACAACGGATGCCTTACAATTTCGACTGAAATAAAAGTACAAATAGAGTCGAAATCATTACAGACGCAATCTGCAATATTTTCTCCTATGTAATCAGGTAATTAGATAAGCAATGAAGTTGGGTTAACTAGGTGAACGGAAGTCGATTGGCTAATAGTTTGTTTAAAAATCTAAGTGATATTTTGGTGGTCTAATACAGATCGCGTCCGTATACTCTCACATCCGTATCCCATCGGCCCGTTTATTTTAAAGCTAGCCAATAACTATGTGCAGCAGTTTAGTAATTGTTAAGCAATTGACAACTAGTGAAATTCGCTTAATAATTAGTCATACGGGCAATTCACTTTGGAGAATTATTATGTTTCTAATCTGAAAACATCCGCCAAACGTTATTTTTAAAGCGTATGCAAAACATTCTTATATCACAATAATAAAGACCGGAAAACTAACTTTCACACTAAGTGATTTGTAGAAACGGACTATTGTTTTCAAAAATTTTATTGGTTGAAACTAACTGCATCAATTAATAAAGCTTTCATAAAATAGAACAAAATAAATTTAAAAAGTCCTTAAAGACGCGAAATTAAATGAACTAGGCGTTTGATCCCTAAAAAATAATAGAAATCGATTTCCTGTGATCTATAGTAAACCGCAAAATAGTAAAAGGTGTGTGAGGACAGGGGCGATCATAGAAAATTGCTTTAGCCTTTCAAATAAGACAAAGCGGTACAAAATACGCACCAGATTTGGAATTTTTCGTTGAAAAATAAAGCTTAGCATCAGAATTAGGATTCGAAATGGTTCCTTAAATATTCAAACAAACGCTTGAAAAGGAAGGAAATCATCAGAGTTTTTGAGAAATGACGCTAGTCGAAAGCGATTATCACAAAATAAGTTCGTATTTTTAGCGGTGTTGAATTGTACATGTTCATTCATCAACAAAGCAATTCTGATTTAGCTCTTAATAGCTTTCACCGTAAAAAATATTAGCTCCTTACTTGCCCCGCACATGCACGTATAATCCTAAAGATTTATATACCGACCGAGTGGCGTTTATAAATTATGATAATGCTATAATTCTTAGAATTAAAACTTCCCGTAAAGTAAGCCCTGTTTTATGCCCTGTTTTACCGCAACGTGCAACAGATCATACCTGAATCGATTTACCATGTGTATTTCCGTGTATATTTACAAAAACAGTGCAGTGGACTTCATATATAGATTTATAGTCAAACATATTTCGAAAAAAGGGAATGAGACAAGTCAATATTAACTATAATAAACTAGTATATAGGTCGTTTACTTCATGTACTATTTGTGAGAACTACTGCCTGATCACAATTTCAACTTTTGTCCTTCCAAGGCTTGGGATTTCTGGACGAAAATCAGTATGTTTTTTAAAAAAAAAGATAAGAGCAACACACCTACTTTATATAGTCCAAGACCTGGCTATTCATACAAACCACAATCCTTTCGACAGTCTTTACTTCGATCAGTCTAAGGCTTTTGTTTGAGTAAACCACCCAATATTTTTACCTAACTAAAATTTAAAACTGTATAACTATCTATTTGAGCCCTTTTTTGCGTATGAATTAATAATGGTTTTAATAATTATAATAATTGCCCTTCAGATGCCCCGCACAGCAACTGTTTAGGGGAGTATTTGATCTTGTATATTTCGGGCAGCGAAAAGAATACGTTTTATTTCGTTCTGAAATGGGCTGGCTTTTCTTTGAAAAAGTGTCACGTATAACTTTTTAGCAATGAATCAATACAAGTCGTAAAATTTTTCAAAAAACCTTAGAACTACGGCAGTACAGGAACTTTTGTAGTCATATAATTCAGTCTCATATGAAAAGCTACACTAGTCTGTTACGCTCTATCGCTATCTTATAATGAACCCGCTGGAATTTGGCAAAAACTTTTAAAGAACGTTTAATTGTTCGCAAACTTACTATTGTGAGATCTAGCCAGCATATTATGAGAGGCACAGGAAAGTAATAAAGAATGTACGCATAAATCTATGAAGTTATTATTAGCTGCGGAGGTCTCCAGTGAGAAGATAGATTTGACTGCATTGTAAACTTTATATTGCCGCAGGTATATAATTATATCATGAGCTTCCTAATCAAGGACATCCCCAAAGTAACCCCCAAAGATCTAATAACCTGGAATGAGCTAAGTAAAATTTGCAACTGTTGTTGCGGAAACAGGAAAGAACCAAAATATTCTCTTCCCGTGTTGTTAAAACGCTAAGTTAATAATTACTATGATATGCACTTTATGTATGACAACCTTTACTTGGCTTAATAGAAGTATGCCCAAATATATTCAAAAATAATTTAAGGCGCCACCCTTTTTAATCAACTTATATAACCTTACGTCTTTAATGGCAAAGCAACTTCTTTTCAGCTGGAATGCTTTTCTATGGTAGCTACAACAGAACTACAGCAAACTGATTTAGAGCTGCAGTTACAGTACACTTTCTAAACTTTGATCTGATTTCTCAATATTAAACACGAAAGAATCACGCTCAAATCAACCTTAGGTGCAGTATCCTATAAACCTCACAACTTTGTTTTATATACTGTTTAGTTCCAGCGAAATAGAACCCAAGTTTCGCAACATCTTTTAGCTCACCACTTGTTTTACCAGTTGGCTAGTCTCAAAGACCACAGTCATTTCGAGACGATGTTCCTATAACTCAGTGCCCATTAATTACTTCTTTAAGGTTATATAAAATAGATGCTTATGTAAGCAAACCATCAACTATCCATCAGGTAAAGGTTTTGTGTTTGAAGTTCGGCACCCTCGTTAGGCAATGCATCAGGTGCCTGACTCTTAGTTCGAAACGAAGTGTTTCCACGCTGAGATTCGAACCTAGACCATCACGAGTCCCTAAATTCTACCACGGAAATACGCAGTTCATTACACCATCACTAAAGTCACTACTCAGAACTGAAAAACCAACAACAACTCAACCAACTCAACCAGTGATCGAGTAGATCGATTATATGTCTCAATCAATCATTTAATATTTTAAGACTTGATCAGAATTTAGGGAAACTATGTTTATTACGTGTTGTTATATATATATATATATATATATATATATATATATATAATAAGTTGGATTACTATACTTGACACATTGTTGAAGAAGAGTTTAACAAGTTTTGACATGCCGACGTCGACTAGCCCACTTGGGGAACCAGGGAGGTGTTCGTAAATTTCCGTAGAGCCTGTAAGCGCTTGAATTGAAGCTCGAACTATAGTGGATAATGGTTACTATAGTTCGAGCTTCAATTCAAGCGCTTACAGGCTCTACGGAAATTTACGAACACCTCCCTGGTTCCCCAAGTGGGCTAGTCGACGTTGGCATGTCAAAACTTGTTAAACTCTTCTTCAACAATGTGTCAAGTATAGTAATCCAGCTTATTCAAATCTGGGCTATTTGGCGACCATATGTGCCTATTTCAGGATATTCTTGTATTCTTAAACATTCAACTGCGCGCTAATCGGTTGGTATAAGCCTGTGCCCCGTTTTAGTGGAAGCTGTGTATTCCTTTTTCAGGCACTTCAACTAACTGCAGTTACACATCAGTGTGTTGAAAGTTTATCATCTTTGATATATAAATCTTTTTGGAGGAGCTATAATGGTATGGCATCTCCCTTACTGTGCATTACGCTCAGAACTGGAACACTCGTTAAAATTACATTTGCCCACAGTGACTTATTTTCTGGATCGTGAACAAAGTAGTGATAGTTTCTACTTGCACTGACGATAGATATTTTAGGGAAAAAGCAAAGAAGAAACGACGCCGATCGCAGTTAGAGGGTAGAGACCGATAGCGCCAGTTTTGCGCAGCCAAAGACAATCGACGTGCCGCAATTTCGTGCCAGTCGTAAATGGACAAAATCTCCTGTGATTTGGTCGGAGCCGACCAATATTTAGGTGGAAATAAAGCATCAGATAGGTGAAAAACAATGGCTCAGTAGTGCGAAGAAACAGGGAGTACCTTAGAGGAGCCGATTCAAAATGGTGTAGAGTCAGGGAGTACTCAAAGGGGCAAAAAATACGATTCCGAGCTAAGAGACCGACACATTGACAAGAGTTCAAGGACAAGGTCTCTGACCGCTTTCTGAAGGAAAAGTTCAGGTTCAGTTAAAGTTTGGGAAAGAACAGTTGTGAACTTTGTGCAGACCAAGCAAGTACTTCATGTGGTCGGGCCAAAGTTCGTCTTGCAAATTACGGTGAACGAATAGCTGTTGCTTTTGCTAACACTATCACAGTAGTATGCGTAAATTCTTAAGCGGAATCCATTCGTGTAATTGCTAGAAAAATGCTAATTTTAATAAGTTTTTAAGTTTGAAGTTTGAATTTCTATTTACAAGAAACTTCGGGCGACCAGAAACCTATCGGCACAAGATTCTTTTTGGCTGACATGCTAATGCCAACTAGAGTTCCACCCCTAGATCTCGTCGATACCGTTCAACTACGAAATGAATGTCCATTAATTGATAACCTTTGTTGCGACTTTCACAGACGAGATGACCGCTAGTCAAAACACTATTTACATCACAGGAATTTTATTGCTCACGATTTACCAGGATTGCAGCGTACGGATGTGTCTAGTCGTGTCTCGCTTGAGGTACGAGAATCTGCCGAAGGAGGGCAGCACAGATTACTAAAGACGTTCTTTAAGGCAAATTAACAAACCCAGTTATCCTCAACGACTTGGGCCATTCATTTGTTTTATATCAAAGTATCGGTCAACGGAACGCGTGGTAAAAAAATCGCTTCCAGTGCAACAGAATGTTCATGCGATGCAGCAGCAAAGCGAGACGTAAAAAACATTTGGTTCGGGATGAGAGTAATCCACCTAGTAGCATTCGCCTAGTAAAGCGAACTGATAGGTACTTAGGATTTGTATAAAGAATACAGTATGTAGCGCGGGACGCTTTTTGTCCGACAGACTACAATCGACATGCTAGTTTTTACTTTTTAAATTTTGTCTCCTGATATATTTTGTATAATGTTTTATTTTTTTTTTATATATATACACATTAATTTTGCGTGCACGCCGACACAACCACCTGCACGCGCTTTTAAAGAGTTAACAGGCAAAAGTGCCATTTTAAAAATTAGGGTACAGTGAGTTGTCCAGATAAACTCACCAGTTGAAAGGCCTACGCTTTTTGCACTTGACAGCCGTTTCAAGCATTTCCAAGTTGTATGCCTGCACTTGCATATTTGGGACCTTTAGCCTGCTATAAGCCTAAAACTTATTAATGATAAAATGTTTTGTATGTAATGTTTTTAAGCGAGTTTTAGACAAATGCACATCAACCCATATCGTTTGACGCACGTAATTTTTGAATTATAGTAATGTTCGGAAAATGTAATTTGAATCTTAAATTAGAGATGCAGTTACGGTGAATATTATATATGTATATACTCAGGACTTGAGAAACATAAGTTATTTTGAAGCCGTAGTTCAACAAGTACAGATCGAAATACAAAACTCCTAGTATTGATTCTAATGTGATGCAGACTTGATTTAACGATAGGCATAACTTCAGACAAAACCTAAGATTTTTGCTAAACAATACTTTGAACAGGACGGTGTTTAGAACTTACCATGTTGTCTTTCGTTAGATTTAGGTTATGTCGGATTAAAATTATATGTAAGACAGCTATATTACAACATATTATTGTTTAGAGCCTAACGGCGTATTATTTTAATAGCAGTCACAATTGGTGTTTATTTGTACTGACGATATTGTCGGTTGTTTATTGCTGTGCCGATTGTTGTGAACGCATAGGTAACGAACATAGACGAATTGCCATCTATCGTCGACCTTTGGCGCAAGCTCTGGGGCAGACTTAGTGCTTGATGCAGAACCCTTTGAAGCTGCGGCACCTTCCCTTTTTTGAGTTGCCATGTCGCGGCCTTTGTTGTATGATGAGACAGTTCTACAATAAGCAAAACAACGATGAGGTATTAGCTAAGTAGCAGGAAAATAGCTACCTTCAGGACTTACATTTAATAATATTATAGGTAGCATACTGCAATGCTGTTTATACTTCCACACGTAATAACAATATTGCATATAATGGCAAGCGAGACGACTGGATATTGGTAACAAATTCAACCGCGCGGAGGGTTTGTATACTTCTTTGATTGTAAATAAGTTGATTCAATTAAATGGATAAGAAATAAGATCAGAGTGCGTTAACCGTACAAAGACCAACTTGATCGTACAGTTTACCTAATTAATTATTAATAGAACATTAGATATAGCCGTCAGCTGGTGGAATGATATTTTAACAACTACTTTGCATTGAATTGTTATATAGTGTTTCGTGTAGCCAAACTTTAGAGACAGAATGTAAAAATAAACGCTACAAGGTTTATTAAAATTATGTATCGGTTAATGAGGAACTAATTTATGGAATAACTATGAATATTATTAATTGTTATTTTACGAATTTACGCCATGCGGAATATAATCTTGGCTAGCCGGTGATTCTTAATATCCCATATTGAGGGCGTAGCCCTTACTTTAGCATACCTGAATAGGTGGCTAATTTGGGGTATGATAGTCTTTTACAGCGTTTTCAAAAAAAAACTTAAATAAAAAACTAACCGTGATGTGTTGACTTTGTATTGTTGGCCGGTGGCTTGACACCACTCGTCAAAGCGGCTTTTCCATTCTTCCCAGGAATGAAATTCATCGTTTTCTTTGAGCAGATCCATAGGGGATCTACTCCTCTTCTAATAGCCACTAAATTGAGGGTGTTTCTCGTTAATATCGCGTATAAATACACACACCAAAGAACTTTCCCTTAACAGTCAGTTTAAACTCAAACACTGCTTCGACAAATTACCCCTTCGTTAGCTTGTGTTTCTTTAGAATAACGTTTGTTTATAAACATGTTATGGGTAGTCTGCAAAGCGCGGGCGTTTAAAAACAAAAATGCTTTGAAAATGGCTTAATCGGTATAATGAAAAAAAAAACATTAAACGAAGAAACACATCAGGTTATTGGGATTATTAGCGCAATGCAATAAGCTATGTGCTGCCAAAAAATTACATAATAAAAAAAAGGATTAAGTGTTAAGGTTGTCAAGAGATTTGATTTGTGTACTATCGTGTACAAGAGGAAGCACAATCAAAACGCAGCTGACTGGAAAAGATGTTGAGTTATATTATCTATTTTCTAGCCCAAATAAGTGTTTACCAACAAGTCAATTTTTAATGATTTTATCCTTGTTTTGATGCAAAATGACTAAGCTGCGTACGCTTCTTATTGTACATACATGTCTCAATAGAGTTTACTTAATGAGTTTAATGATTTTACAAAAAAGAACTGATTATGAAATGAAATATGGAAAATGCAGAAATGAACAGTTTAACAAATGAAATGAAATAAAATTCAACCACATATTTATTTTATCTTCACCAAGTTATTAAACTTTGACAAAATTTATCCACTTAAATGAGAAACATTGTTATTGTGTCCATAATGAGCCAATTTAGCTAAGACAGCATATGTGATACACACAGCATGGCCTCCATTATAAAAATAATTGAGTAATAGGTGTTCTAAACGTTCAGTTGCCTTTACACACTACTTACGAGAATCGCATGCTCCTTGTATAAGTAATTACATGTTCGTGTTGTAGGAAACACCAACTTGGCTATACATACTGGGCATAAAATTTTCTTCATCGTACCCATATTGTCGCGGCTGTATGCGTAATAGAAAATACGAAAGACGAAATACGCAATGTACGCGAACGGCGGCTATAAAAAGGTTTGGAAAAGCATAACGATGGAGTGCGATGAGTGTTCCGAAAAATAAACTAATACTTGATAGCAGTGTCTATTATTTATTTAGAGTCGGCCTTGCGAGAAAAAGCACTGCTGTTTGGTCTGTTAATTTATTTAGTCATACAAAATATTTCAAATGGCCTATCCATATGGTGTATGTGAAAAAACTTAAACGGCTGATTGTCATTGCAAAATCGTTTCACCGTATCTATTTTGAGAGACAATTGTTGTGCTTCATCACTTGTATGACAATAATATAGCACACGACGACGGCGCAACAACGGTCATGCGCTGTCCATACCATATGCAGTGGAGTGAAGTAACTTAACTTTCAACACTATATACAATATACTTGCCAAATTTCTTCAAAAAATATAGCCTCCATCTTAGAAAAATAACTATGAAATCGATGGTACCAAGCTTCTTTCGACCCCTGTCATGAGAGACCTAGGTGTGTAAATGACAGCAAACTTTATTTCAGTTAATATCTTGTCGAAACTAAAAATGGATTACTAAACAGCATTCTTAGTTATTATAACGACAGATTAATTGTTCTAACGAAGCTCTTGCATTCTACCTCAACGTAGGTATTCCACTTAAAGGGCATATTAATCTTCTTGTAAGTTTAAACCCTTGCTTAAGGAATGCTGCCATTGTGCAATCGAAATAAATATCTTCTATTGACTCCCTTGTAACAAAAAAGTGCAGAGACATCTAAGCAAATTCAATTGGCAAAATTTTAAGAAGCACTTTTTTAATAACGCATCAAGTAATTTCCGAAAACTTACGTCCTTAGCATAGATCCAACTTATTCATCTATTTTGTTAACAATGCTTTTCTAATTTTTCATACTTTGCTTCGTGCCATCTGAAGCAATACTTCCAAAACATAAAACCTGGAACATCTGGCAAATATTCATACCTAGTATCCTTCAGTGTATTAGCGGAAGTGCCAGGACTAGGTGGCTGCCTCCGTCCGGCATAAATAATAATCAGATAGTTCTGTATGGTTGATTTGGCTGCTTTACGGCTGCGTATGTTTCCTCCTGTACTCCGTACCATGCACTCATATGTCACAGTCTTACTAATTATCAAGAATTCTTCCAGATAATTCGGTAATAAGAAATCTTTCTTGATGTTATATTAGAAATCTCCGCTTTCAAATTTATCATCAATAAAAATACTTGTTTATATTTTTAAGCATGCAAATAAACTTTCACAAACTAGTGTCCTTTTGACGTCACGTGTAACCACAAAAATAACCCCAAATTGAAAGTATATATGTCACTGGAAAACGCGCTCAACCCCTAAAAAATTTGGAGTGCCATGTTTTGTATACAAAGTACCTACTTTGACTTCATGATATTTTGTAGTAGGACTAGCAGTCGAAACTTAATTCATTATTACTAGAGTTTCCTCCTCTTAATTTTGCACGACTTCTGATTGATTTAGTTTAGATTTCAGTAGTACAGGTACGGATATCACACTGTACACAACTGAAAGGAGCGGTTGCTCACGAGTTTATTCTTTACTAGGGACATACCTGCTCTTTCATATGGGTTTACAGCAGATAATACATTATTTAAATACATTCGTGTTTAGTTTGTTTTTAGCATACGATTGTCGAGAGTGACAGCAACGTGTAAATTAAGAAAGAAATCTGGTCCATAAAGATTAATATAAAATTCAAACAACTCACAATGAATCAGTGAAAACCGCTGTAAACTATTGTACTACTGAGTTATGATGAGGAACATGCATGGTAAAATTTAACTCGTTGTTACTATAACTAGTACATCTCTAAATAAATCTACAATATCACTTAGTAAGAATATAGCCCTGGAATATAGTGCAATGTGGTGCATTGTAATAAATACAATTAGATCATATTACTCCCACCAACCAGAAGTCCGCTATTAGCGATTTTGAAGGGGCTGTATCGATTAAAATCTTTTGCATGGAGCTGTTAATATTTTTTTAGATTATTGCACGTACACACTGTTTTTTTAAACCATATCGTGGATTTTTCAAGTGTAAAAACTAATATAGTATAAATACTAATTTAACAAAGCTACTAAAACTGTTCCTGACTGAGAGATGACGATGATAATCACAAATGCACGGTACTGAAATTTGTAAACAAATACACTTTATTCTAAACGAATAACAAAATTTGCAACTATTTCTAAAGCAAAGACACTAACTAAAACAAAATAAAGTTTTGCCTTTATTAGTCGATGCATAATTTATGGATTAACACACATAGGCCTTAATTGTGACAGCAAGCACATTCTAATAATGCAAAATAGTGATATTTCAGCGTTGGCATTCTCTGGTTCTGCCTCTAAAGAGGATGCTTATTTTAGTTACATATATTTAAAGTTTTATATTGTGTTGTTCTGCATGCTTGTCACATGAGAATATCCGTAAGAAATGCTCACGAAGTAGGCCCAAATCTTCTCTGACTGACATATTCTTAACTCATTGGGGATCGTTTTCAGGTTTAATGTTTAAAGTATTGGAGTCATTTTTCAAAAAAACTCGCGCTTCATGTTTACTCTGAGAACTCAAATCCATCCTTGGAAGGTATTGTTTAAATAAACCTAAATACTTATGCTTAGGTCTTTAATTTACGATTTTGGTATTGCACACCTTATAAAAACCTTGTAACATATGCTGTGGTAGATATACGTGTGTGTTTTCGCACTGTGAAAGGGACACATGTAATACACTTCGTGTGACTTCCATCAAATTAAATATAAGTCTCTACAAGTGTTTTAAGTTCTAAAGTATCCTTTTTCCTTTGGTATTATTATCTTTATGATTTTTTACTTATTATTATGATTCTTTTAGAAATTCGCGATATATCCACATCTTTTGATGAAATATATTATCATTACATTTTATATTATTCTAGTCAAACAGGAACACATAGTAATCCCTACTTTCTTCTCCAGTGTTTACCGATAGAAAAAGATTTGTTTAGTATTCCTCTTTATGTTAGATCATGTCATGGAATTTATAGAAGCTATGTTGTGTTCTCACAATGATAAACCTCTACGTGTAAGATTCTGTTTTAGAAACGTAACTATAGGCTATATTTTTTTGCAGACCAGCATTCGGGCTAATTTTAGCGCGTTGGCACAATTCCAATCGCAAGTAATTTCGAAGCCGTTCTTAATCCGTGTGCATATATAACGTGGTTACATGTGCATGTTTTCTAGTTAAGTGAAAGCCTATTGGAAATGATATTAAAAACCAGTCAAATTCATGAGGACTAAAACCTGTTTAATTACTATTTCAAAATAGAATGGCAATCAGTGTTGAGATCTCGAAAATTTTAGAATCCAAAACAATCGGATCCTACCATAATATTTGCCATGAATTTACTGATAACGTTTGCTGTTGCATTTATTTCAGCAAACCTCGTTTGAGAGATAAATTGAAATCTCTTTATCTAATCATTCTGTGTATGTATACAAATCTAGCTCTGGTAAGAAAATAGGTCAAAAAAAGTATTATGAGTTTATGGAGTACATACATTTATTTTATGATTCTGTTTAATTGGCAACCCATATTATCTTACCCCGGCCCCTACTGTGGCCACAATAATGGTGATGTGTGCTGTATGTGATCTTGGTTATTGCTTGTACGGAGGTTTGTATATATAGCTAGTTGGTCAATTACACCTTAAGTGCGCTTTAGTCTTTGAACAGCCTCGTTATTAAGATAAGCATAAACGCTGAATGTAGGCAGAATATGTTGTTTGCTAGTGGTGTATATTTTGAAAGTTGCGGTAGTTGAACACCTGTCACTTTTCTCAAGATAAACTGATAAAGTTGCTGGAATACATTCAATAAATTTGAAGCAGAAGCTGTATTGCGTAGCATTCATTATTATATTGCTTATAATGAAACTAAATTTTTATCGTAGAAGTCTCATCCTATGGTGCGCTAACAGAGCAAAGCACAAATGACGTAAGTGGATTAGATGTTCAACCATTTGTTATATGACTACATATGTTCTTCCGTCTTAATTCGTTTTGGTCAGTTCGGTGTTTACTAACGTTGTATAGAAGAAACGACGTTAAGATATATGCATTTATGAACACAGATGCTACTGACAAGCTCATTCTTATACATAGGTTCAGTGATGGTTTCGAAATACGCTTGGTTTTATATACAACGTTAGCCCTTGGTTAGAAATACCATAAAAGTACTTCTTACTATGAATGAAGAGGTACAAGAACAGCACGAAACCCGTCTGGAATACGTACATAACGCATTCGTAGATCAGGAAATAAGCTACCAGATGGGAAGCGATAACGATTTTCTAGTTCTGCGGCGGTTGGGTAACGTAGTGGATTAATTGGTCGAGCTACCTCTGAAGGCGAAAGGGGCAGACCGGTCGGAGTAACAGCTAACGAGGACAATGGAGAGATTGGTGAAAGAGGGCTGGGTAGGCCATGAACCGTAGTGCCTATTGGCGTCGAAACAGGGATGTTAGCAGGGGTTAAACTAGACGGCGGCACCCCAGGCGGAGAGTACCGCTCGGGATAGGGAAGTGCAGCTGACGAACGGTAGATAACTCCTGCCGTGTTCTGATTATCTGTTCCAGGTTCGTTCGTGAGAACCTCCGCCCGAAAACCATTGTGGTCTGCAATGTAGTTAACCCGTCTGACATGCCCGTTTGGCTGACGGATCGTATAGAAACCAACCCTGCGTCCCCCAACATCGGCAACCTCGGAGTGCGCATGTGCGCCACCGGCTTCTGTAGGTGACACGTAAGCGAAGTTAAAGGGGCGCGAGGAACGGTTTTCGTTGTTTCGAGAAACCGGAGGCAAAAGGGCATGAAGGCGGCTAGCAAATGAGAGGTCAATGGGCAGCAGACCGGAACGGTCGCGGATACCACCATAGCTGTGGCGGTAGAGAAGTTCAGCAGTGCGATCATCAACAAATGCTGATGGTTTAACTTGGTCTGAGCGTCGTGTTATCTCCGGGATACGACCTGATGTATCGTGATCAGAAGTGCCTCCATGGTCTGATGAAGTTCCGCGCGGCGGAAGAAGATCATTGTCTGAACCAACGACAGAGTTTGACTGGGATGCTGTTGTGGGATCACCGAATGGAGAATTTGTCGTTGACTCAAGGCTTTCTGGAGTGGGTGGAGTAGAATCAGAAAATGACGAGGATGAAAAGCCCGTATCATATTTAGGGCTAGACTGCGACGATAACGCTGAGGGATTCGATGATGAAGTTGGTGAGGGAAAATTCGCCGATGGAGAAAAGTCTGAAGCAGGCGATGATGAAGGCCCTGACGATGTTCCGCTTGATGATGCACTCCCTGACAAGGATGGTGAACTAGAGAAGGAAGTACTTTTGCGTCCTGTAAAATGAAAAGTAAAATACAATATTTACTGTATATTCTCCTGCTTTACTTATGTAAATTAGAACAAAATGGAACTTCTACTGGAAACCGTGTCAAGTCAGATGACTATACACTTGCACACACTTTCAACAATTATGTCTGAACACCAGGGCTTGAGCACTTATTCCATAATACGCATATAGGCAGTACGCCATTTTGCACACAATTTTCTTTACATAATTTGAAGCGAGTTAGTCTGCTAGGTATCAATCCGAGTTCATTTTGTGCTGTTGTATTTTTTGCTGTTCTTAGTTACAGCCGTTACCATGCTGTAGTTATGCTTGCCTCGCTGCCTTCGTCGGATAGCAGTACCGCCATTTTTTTTTATTTAGTTCGCTACAATTTTTCGATCAATGGGATTACTTTGCTGCTCATACTCCACTACCTTGTTATAGAAAGCATTGCTTTAGCTATTTATTTACTCTGACTTTGATCATCCACCTCCGTGATCTTGAAAGCCGTCCTTTGCGTTTGTGTTGATTATCTATTACTTTCATCGCACATAAGAAGGCATTTTAAATAAGAAGTCATTGTGCCCTCTAAGTTAATATCAATTTGTAACCTTGACCTTCACACGCAAGTCTTGGGCGCCATGAAATATCAATCGAATAAGATAAGTGAAAACAAAATGATGTTATGGAATCTTAATCTTGTTTTAGAGAAGATATAGTATGTGGTGTCATGGCAGAAAATGAAACAAATTGACTTTTTTCCGAAAATCAAATTTTATCTGTATGTAGAGCTCGAGGAGCCAAGGTCCGGAATCTGCTATATATATTTCGGACGGCATCCTAACCTTTGCTCTAGTGCTGAGCGTTATTTGTTGCACCTTTCTAGAAGGAAGTTTCTGGGTTTTGATGCTAAATTATGATTTAGGAAACAGAGTATAACATATTAGCACATCTCTACATAATTTTTCATACTCGGCTTTTCGCCGAATTCCTGTTGTATCAAGCTAAGCGGGCTGTCATTTTTGCCATCATCGTCATCGTTAAGGTCGTTCTGGGCGTAAGCGTACGCAGCCACTAGGAGTAACGGAAGAACTCTGCAAATAAAAAGAAAATACCATTGTCTGGTAAGCCTATGATTAGTAGAAGGAACAAAACATTTTACTCATTATAGCTTACCGCTTCTTATAAGATCGCTCGCGGAAACTTGAATTGTCAAACTAGCCTAGTTTAGTCAGCAAAAGAATCTTAAATAGATTGCGGAAAATGAAGGTTATCATAAGTTTTCGAACAGGATGACTAAGTCGATAGCACGCTCTGCAAACTGCCAGCCTAATATTAATGTAGATTGAATAAAAGAATTTTATTACATTAAACATTTTTTTTCTTATCCCACTTGGTACGGTAGTGACAGAGACCGTGATCATGTGTGGTAAAGTCTAACTCCCACGCAGGAAACACAATTTGTCTTGCAGCGGCAACTGCCGAAACTATAACGATAAATAATCCGTCTAGGTACGCGTATCTTCGTCCACATAAGGCACAGGCTAACAATTGAGGGAAAAAGACAGTATTTGATACAGGGTCAGACATTTTGTGAGATAAGTCTGCTCTTCGAGGGTTTTGCAAGAAACTGAAATGAGTTTACTTATGCCGCGCGTTTCGGCAAAATAAAATAAACTTAGTTATTTTGCAGGCTTCTTTCTAAATGACTCTGTACATTACAGTTCGTACCTAATTTAATACACAAGGAGCAGAGGTCTAGAGCTAGTCGCGGGTTAAATCCCTATTATAGGAAGACTATAGAAGAGGTATACTAACTACTGATTCCTGTTGTCAATGTATTTGTTATAGCAATAGTGAGGGGCCAATCTTCTAACTGCTTGCTGTATGTCTTATGAATAGAACCGACAATGCTAATATTAGCACTGTACTATGGTCGTTGAGCCATAAAAACCTGGTTGCTCAAACAACGTTACTCTAAAAGCCCAACAGCACCTTTTTGCCATTAAAAATACGGGCTCACATGAATAGAAGCAGATTTATCGTCTGCACGTGATAACCTGCAGAATTATTGAGCCAGAGAATAGGTTTAGTTCCTGCACTAGCATGTCACATACCACTCGTGACATAACCCCCAAAATGTATCCAATCTGTGATCATCTATTCATAGCTTTTACTTGAAATGTAATATCGGCCATTGCATTAGAAATTTCTAATATCTAAGGAGCCATTTCATAACGAGCTATATATGGGAAGTTTCAAAGTCAACGCAAGCACCGCAAATATGTAGTTCCAATAGATGTAAGCATACTTTAAATTGCAGCCAGCAATTACAGTTCGTAATTACAGTAACTCTAATACGCTTACGAGAATATAAACAATCAACTTCATCGGATGGGGACATGCAACATGGTAGTATTAGTCAGATGTGCGTGATAGTCAAATAAATATCACTTCAGAAACCATCTCTAATTTCAAAAGACATTTAATCGGTGAGGATATTCCGACACTTCGCATTGAATGAGTGCTTTCAACTGGAACCAATGATTTCGCTATCAAAAACGTCATTACCTATACACAGCAAAGCGCGTATACAGTGATTATAGCTTCCATGAAAACCAGTGTAGCCACGCAACTGAAAACGTAAAACTTGAATGCAATTACTGAAGAATAATAACGAATTTGGGAACTTTCCGCTTCTCTTGAACGTGAGCGTCATTCTCGGCGGTTGCGGTTGTTAGCAATTTGCCTATGCTTATTTGTGACCTTGATCAAACTTATCACCTCGTCCACTAAATATATCATGAATACCTTAACGACAAACGACATGAGGCTGATGACATGATGAACGATTTTAAGCCATGTTATTCTATCACCTTTAATTTCTGAAATGAATTTCTTAACGTTGCGAATGGATACCCATTGGTCGCAATAAATGCAGTTTTCTCACATTTAAGAATGACAATAACATCGCGAGATATAGATGGCATAAAGTAAAAACAGAAAAAACGTGATCTTAAATAAAAGTGAATACGTTTATAAATAAATGTGCTCTTAAATAGAAAGAAGCGTGTTTTTAAATAGGTTAACAGCGTATTTAATTTTCTTAAATATTTGTTGTTTGAGCTTGAAGGCTTTTACTAATCCGCCAGAAGGAGTCATCGTTCAGGCTTAAGAAAATACATGTACGCAGATTTTGTATTTCCCTATTGTCCAAGACGTTTGTCCAAACTTAAAACGGTAGAGGAATAAGTAAAAAAAAAAATATTTTATTGAAATTGTGCATCGAAACAAAATTGGCAATTTTAATTCTTTGCACATTCCAATAAAAGCCACTAGCATATGTATGCAAGGCGAATTGCGCCAGTTTTTAATGTAATCGGCTTTAAAATCTATTCCGCTTTTACGTACTGCCGTCAATCGATCGATAGTACTTCGACTTTGTGAGAACAAAAGTGAAGTAAGTAGAAGTACATATAACTGTTTTTTTTTATCTCTACTGTTTTAATGTCGGCATTAAATTGACACGTTGGGATAGGTTTCACTAGCGAATTCGAGTGCGCTCCTGTTTGCATTACAAACAGGCAATAACAGGAAGTTAGAGCCTCAGTTGATAGAGTCTCAATCCGATACTGGAAGTTTTGAAATGTATGTGCCTTGTCATTTTGGTAGAAAAACATACCAAAACGGTATCAAGATTCTACCCTGAGAGCCACTTAACGCATAAGTATGACACGTCGGTTGTTGGCTTCGAACTATGAGATACGATTAGACTGAGCTGACTGAACTTGCAACTTGGAAAAAATTTATATAGCTCTGCTTTAATTTTCTACATTTCAAACCACTAATATGTGTTAAGTATCTATGTTTACATATAAGTATGTATGTGAGATTTACTCAAATAAGTTCAGTCCATGAAACATACTCCTTTTCGATCGTTAGGACGCCATGCGGACTGCGTATTTGTCCTATAATATTCATAAAATTATTTTTATGTATATAAAGCCTAAAGTTGCCGTTGGAACAAACCATTTGATAACGGTAAGATAACTTGATAACCCTCTAATCTGCATTTACTTAGGCTAGGATTCCGCTGAACAATATAGTTGTCATTCTGGACCGAAGTATCAGATTATTGCAGACATTCCAACGACATATTTTTTTGTAAATTAAAAATCAAAAATAAATACTCTTAGAAATAGATAGGATTCGCAGCTAAACACCATCCCATTTAAAAAATAGTTTCTAATCAATCGAAAGTTAGAAACCAAAGAGTTATTAGATGATTTGGTTCGACTCAAAGTTCTCTGTTTGATATAATTTTAGTTTGAGAACTTGAATCCATCCCAAAATCATTTTTCGTAGTCATATCTACTGTGTAGTTCCGAGTCAGTTGAGACGTGAAACCCGGCACTGATTGCATCACGATGGTAACGTATCCTAACTGTTGGGAAATATTCACTATATACTTAGAAGTGCACGAAACCTCAGAACCACTGAACTTACACAATTATCTTCATTGCACTTCACTGGCTTCTTCACGTACCCCTACTCTTCGAGGTGTTCTGAGATGCGCTGCAATTGTTCCAGCATTTATAGTGGACCGTCTAACAACGGACGTACCTTTACTCTCCCGCGCCAACTAGGAGAATCTCCTTTGATATCTTGCAGTTCATGCGCGAGTCATCCTTTGTTTCTTATTTCTGCCAGTGCGACCACTTTTCATTGTCCAGATGGTTGCTTATTTAACACTCGCATAATTGCCGACGAGCGACAAGAACGACAGAAACAGCTATCATAAACTACTTGGCTGGTAGTCGACAATGACATTGATGAGAACTCTCTGCTCTCTTCTTTACTCACTCTGCACCCTATTCGACAAATATTGTTTTTGTTTCGCTGCACCTGGCGTTTATATTTCTGCTACATAGAAGCGCTCGTCTTGTGCTTCTGTAGTGCCTATAAACCATTCATTTTGAATGAACTTCTGGTTTGCATCTTCCTAGTAGATTAAGTAAATACGACCCTGCCCATGCACCCTCGCCATCTAAAATTACGCTGTTCTTCTGTTTTGCTAACTACGCAAGGGGCAAGCCTGCTAGAGACCGCTAATATCAGTTGCTGGGATTCGGCTGCTTTGCACGTTGGTTCGTTTGTTTGAGGATTGATATTTCGTAGACATGCTATATTGTTACCATATATACATATCCGGACCAGGCAGCTAGAACGTACTGGCCGTGGATACACAATAAAGTGAAATTTCGGCACTATGGTGCCTCTGTGACTTTCGTCTGTACCTCTATTATGCGGTATGAACTTCAATATACCTACCCTCGTCCAAGGAATGCATGCAAGGGCTTTCGCATATCAATCGTTCTTCGTTTCATCATTAAGTTGTTTTTCATCAATAATCCGAAGCAACTTAATTATACTTTAACACGATCCTCTTAGGTACGATATCATCTTAAGACATTCTCGGCTCAAAAAATTCTGGAGACCGTTTTAAGATTGTCTGACCATATTCAGATTCTAATGTATTGTAATCATTTATTACGTTGTATCTAATGAAAATAGATATTTCGGTGATATTTTTGTACATATCAACAATTATATTGCTCAGAGACGTACCTTACACTATTGCTTTTACTTATTACTACTAAGGCTTTCAATTTGAGATATGAAAAGCTTGCAGGTCATGGTACAACAGGGCTAAAAAGGTATGATAAATATAAAAATAAGTGTAAAAACTGAATGATGGATATTTTTGCGGCCCATTTGGGCGCCTCAATCGACAGTAGATACTCTTTTTCTGAGAAGTGCTAATTTCCTCAATAAAATCCCGGATCATCAAAAATGTTTTGCTGCACTATTTTCATAAATCTTCGAGTCTATTATGAATTTTTAGCGTCGTTGTGCGGAATACTTCTTCGTATCCTTCAGAAGTTGGGTGGAGAATGGTCATAACGTATGTAATCAAAATCAGGCAACAACACACGTTTCTAATTCCAATAAGAGTTAATTCAATACAAAGACATTGGACAATGGCTGTTCTTCGGCCATATCCGAATAAGATGTTTCTCAGTATGTATATAGTAAGTTCCAAAAGGATCAAGAACTTAGCTCTTTTTACGGCACATGGCTTTCTTATCCATGCTTCAGCTATTCTCGTCAAAGTAATATCCACGGAATGCAATGCACGCATGTATTCTAGCCTTGAGAATTCAATAGTAAGGGTAGATTTTTTCCTCTAAGTATTATTTGAACTTTGAGAAAGAGGAAACTACAGAGTGCTAGATCTGGTGAATACAAAGTTTGACACAAAACAGCTAATATATTATAGTGGTGAAACAAGCCCCGAATTGTTTTATTAGAATCCAAGCTTATTTGAATTGTCAGTGTTATACATTCTTCATAAAATTTATTTGTATTACAACTACGTGGCAGGGTAATCTTTTCGATGTTAATTCATAATATATACATTTTTAATAATTAAAAAAAAAACACGAAAAGAAACTTGTATTTTGACTTTGATTTTACAGCACCTTGCATTTTAGACTAGACTTTGAAATAAAATTCAAGCGATTGTGCTCCTGTCTTTACATCATACCGCACAATCATGTGTAACTATCTATAAAAACACATTATAAAAAACCTGGCTTGTCTTCAGATATATTAAAGATTTTCTGAGACAGCTGCTGATAGGTTTGCACTTGTTCGAAAGGTTTTTCGGTACACTCCTTGTTACAAATTTTCTAGACCCCAAATGCTTTTTTTTAAGTTCTGAAGTTTTGTCTGTGAATAGCCAACAGGCGCACGAGTCTACAAAAAGAAGCCCGGCCGTTGGCCGGCAATGTATTTACAAAAACCGAGCATCTTGTCGCATACCTTTTGAGGCGAATTTTTGTTTTTTTAGGCTATATATTATCTATAAATCTTCTTAAATATAAAAAAAAAGTGCAAATTATACTGCAGCCGTTTTGTGTAACAAGCTCCTGAGTATGAAGTGTTACAAAGTAGGAAAAATGTTATCGTTTTTCCTTTGTTCTACAGCACATAGTGAAGTATTAAATCAAAAAATGGCAAATATACTCGCTTTAGTCCAAAAACAAACGTCGTCACATCGATGAGCAGAGCGTGAATAGTTTACTATTTGGGAGATGTCGTACAAACTATTTCCCTAAAAAATCTGCTGATTGAGTACGGCTAATAATAAATAAAACTTAAAATCAAGACCACAATAAAAGTTTAAGGCAAGACAGTAGAGCACATTTAAGGTCAACTTTGATTAAATTCGTCTAGCTCAAAGCCCTGGCTTTTTAATAAGGTCCCTGAGGGTCGCCTATATGTAATAAACAATTCAATTAATAAAATAAAATTTTATAGAAAAACAACTACAATCTTTTGTTAAAGTCAGGGATTCGCTTCATTATCTGATTTCAATTCTTATTATGATTATCGCATATCACAAAACTGCTCAATATAAAAAAACTGGAGTGTTTAGTGCAAAATGCGAAATTTTTCTTTGTTTTGATACTTTTCAGACACTGCTTCTATAGGCTACCATTTTGTCAAAATCTCGACAAATTGTGAATACGAAAATTATTCAAATCTCGCGTGCTGCTTTTTAAAAATTTAAAACTTTCGTACGCCAAACTTTTATAGCAATAGGATGACTAAGTCACCATTCAAATGGCAGGGGGTCTTAGATATCAATGATGTATACGTACTATTTCGCTCTCTATACCAAACGTTTATATGTAGATAAAAAATGGAAATACGTTCTCCATTATAGTATCTTGTAGCCCACATTGACCTAATTTTAGCCATGACTTGTCAGCTTTTTTCAACCACTTTTTTTTGAAATCATATCTACTCAGTTTTTCTCATTATCTCTTCACTTTTGACCCTCTAAGACTAAATACTCATCACTCACCGCATACATTACACATAAGTCTGAGTAATAACTTTAAGCGTCTCTTGTATAATCAAATGCTCCTCATCTGTTATCAAAGCGGTAAACATCGTACTCATAGATTTTCATTATTTGAACGGCAACTTATTAATCTCCTGATTAAAAAATCTAAGGCACTGCCAAAGATAGGACAGAGTATCGAGGCAAGATGAGGTCGGCCAGAAGATTTAGTAGCTTTTGCTGGATTATCACCTCCCGTTTAGAACTATCGAATTTGCAAGCGGGATCTCTAATAAGAATTGTTAAACCCCTTTCACGCCATGGAACGGCAATCAACATCTGCAGTTTCATCTGTTCGGCAAAGATGCACTATGGTGTTTTACAAGTACGTGCCGTTTTTCACACGAATGGTTCTTAATGGATTACCCACCCCGACAGTTCTGGGACCATGGCTCGCCGTGATTACAGAACAGGTGAATTTTCACTACAATACGTGTTGCTTAATGTACAAAGAAAGAAGTCGATTTTATCCCTTGCAATAATGTCATGGGTTGCTGAAGTTTACGGTTGCTTCTACATAGTAAAGGCCAAACGACAATAATCCAGCAGAAATCTAAGCAACATAAAAGACGAGTATACTTTTTTTCTGCTTGATCCCTCCAGATTGCTCATTCATCATTGCAGCTGAAGATTTTAATAAGTTCTGACAACATCCATTGCGATTAAGAAAATAAACATGTATACAAAATGTTGTTATGTCCTTAGTTAACTTTTAAGTGCAAACCTCAGATAGTGGACAAAACAGACTTGCTGCCTTGCACAGTTCTAAGACGGACAGTGCTCTAAATAGTGATGCTTACCAACTGACTATAGTTTTTTCTGAGCTAAAAATAATTAAGAACTCCAAACTTTACGTATTTAATCAGATTACCAATATAAAGCACCCGGCTATATAGCTCTGAAACACCAATTTTTTTGTCGGTTTAATAATAACAAAAAAATTGCTTTTCGCGTAATACTATACAAGAACCTTGGTGAACCTAGACCGTCGTATTGGTGTCTAGTGTGGTTCTCTCTAGTGGCAGAAAAGGTTGACCCCCTATGATACGGTAAGATTTATGTACATAAAGGTAGGGTATATGTGTTGCTATCTTCCCTGAGTCAGCAGAGCACGTATTAGAACGACCATATTTGGAATTGAAATATTTTCAGATACAAAATTGAAAATGTCTTTGTTTATTGGCATTTTTCTTAGCAACGAAGGATTAAGCTTTTAATAGTAATCTTCATAATAAATCGGTGGTTCAATATGTAAATGACACCAACACAAATTCCAAGCCAAGCAGCACGAGTTAATCCTCAAAAAGGAATAAAAGAACTATGACCCTCAAAGCACAGCTGTAAGTTAACATATGACAAAAGCAATCACTAGATGTTATCGCCAGAGAAGCGGCGTATTCCAAATAGCTAGTATGCATCTTGTTGGGTGCGTTGTCAGTCTCTATGATAAATTTTTAGGTATGTAAACCTTAGGGACACGTTGCAGTCTAGGTTCGGACCTGGCCATAAATCGGCTTCGTTTTTTACTAGGTGCCTGCCATCTAACGATATGCCTAACAGCGGTTCTGGGCGTAAAAGTCGAAGCAGAGGGTGTATTGTCG